CTTTCACAACCAAGGCGTACATCATAAATCGACAATCACCTGCAACGTCATCGCTTACGACCGGCATGTGTGACGTAGGAAGACAGTCAGGTTATAGATCACTTAGGCTAAGTGTATAACGGAAGTCTTGTGGTACACGGTGCATGAACGAAACTCTCACAATCTTTTTAGAATTGTAACTTGGATTATTGGCTCGAAATTGTGTTCTCCTTTCATTTAGCCTTTAGTGCTCTTTTTGATCGTATTTCTGGTTTTCAAAGACTGAAACCACTGATATTCCGCTGATGATTTTGTCGCTTAACAGCATAAGATGTGGAAAAATACTTTTTGATCGTTCTCTAGTCGCTACGTGATGCATAAAAATTAAGGAACATTTGAATAGAGTTAGCCAGTCTTAGAAGAATTATACATGTACACGGGACACTGGCTTCATGTTGGTCGGGGGGAGAGTGCGTTGCGTGACGAGACCAAACTATGGCTGTAAAGGAGACCACCCATCCCAGATCTTTGACATTCTTCTTGGATCAACGTGAACCTGATTAAATCTTATTGTTCAATAAACTTTAAAAAGTGAGGTCTTAAGTTCCCTCTCTGCCCCCTTAAGTTGGAGTAGAAATGGAATCAAATTACATGTAAGCAGCTGTTAAGAGAAACGCTGTCCACCAAAGGTGAACGTGGCAGTGCCGTAAGATATTTAAATTATTGTTTGGATCTGAGAGCTAGGACATCGTGAAAAAAGATTCTGCAAAAATTTGCGATTTTGAATTTACATATGAAGAAATTCTAATTTTCACATTAGTTCACACATTTGATTAGCGAGGGTTAACACATTTTTGAGATGGTGTTTTACAAACACGTTGCTGAATTTGAAGCAGCCTAAACTCGCTTTAAGACGTTGGGTTAACCGAAAAACGGGAAAGAAACCAAAATTATATTGGCCGTTTCACTGGCGTAGAGGTTGACGAAATTAATTCTAACCGTTCGTTATGCTAAAAATTAGCCGTAAAAATTTTTCTTTAGTTCGTATCGAGCTTGGGAGGAAAGGCCAATTGAAAGATATTTGGAAAGAATTAATTTAATCGGAGAAAAACACCGTTCTATTTCAGTATTTTTAAATAAAAAAAAATATGATCGTTTTTCTTTATCTTATCATCCAAGCAAAGAAGTTTGGGCTGAGGCATTTTCACCTGAAACTCTACCGCCATATGAAAATCAGCGGGAAAACAGAAAGTTACTATTTGTCAACCCAACAGTGACAGCAGTCGCTCAGTCTTGAGTTATAACTGCCTGGCCCCTATGATGAAAGCGAGTGGGTAAAGGTGTATTAGAACAGTCAAAATCAATTATTAATTTCCAATATGAGTTTTAACGGAAAGGAATTAACCGTGAGCCGTAAAAGTCTTCATCCCATTAATGTCCTCCTCCAATCGTGTCATTTCGCATTAAGAAGCATATCGTGACTGTTACCGTTCAAACCAGGGAAAGTAGGAAATCTGTAATTTCGACGACTCTTTTTGTGCGTGAGTTTAGAAGATCGCGATGATGTTTAAATATTCCATAGGCGGCCTTTCTTCACTGACAGGAGTTGGCTTTTTACTTCCCAAATGACTCTTTGGAGTCCTTTCGAAAAAGTAATAAACTAGAAACAGTCGGCTAGAAATAAATTGGCTCCACTGAAAGGAGTCATGTGGCTTTTTGCCTCCCAAATGACTCTTTGAAGTCCTCTCGAAAAGGTAATAAACTAGAAATAACTGGTGATCGCAGCGCAATTGTTGATGGAGGCGACATTGCTCAATCAATCAATCAATCAATCAAATAGGAATTTTTTAGAATAATGTCCTTAATAATATCAAGGCATATTATACAGAGTTTTTAATTTGAACTCTTCTGCTCGATTCATTAGTTGATTCACTTTTTGAACGATATTCATGCTTTACGGTTTTTCTAGGCGCAGGTGTTATTTTTAGGTTGGCTTTGGAAAAAACATACGTCTTCAAGTAATGTAAAATCCTTTAAAGTCTTTTCACATAAGTGATATGATTACTATTTTTCTATCGGGAACAGGTGTTCTCTAAAAAGACAGTCATAATAACGGTTATTTTAGAGCAATGTTTTCATTCTTGTCAGTCTTATTACACCTTTTCAGCTGCACTAAGAGTGCCCAATGATTGGACATAAGTTATATACATTGTCTGACTCTGTCAAGAGGTGCAAATCTCATTGGGTAGAGAATAAATAAAAGCAGTTTTCTTACAATAAATTGCGATCTGATCCATAATTTAAGATCAAAATATTAGTTGATCCTGGTTTCTGTGCCGTCGCATAAAGAAAATTTCAAAGTCATCACTAATGAGCAATTCTTCAACATTTTTCGTTTTTGTGACCACCGGCAACTGTGCAATAATTTTTCTTATTTTTCTGACGATTTTGGGTGATCTGGCTGTTTATGCGGCGTTCTTTTTGAACCGCTCTTTAAGGACGCGAACGAACGTGTTTTTCCTGAGTCTGGTGACGTCGGACATTCTTCTAGCTTTGCTGATAATGCCACTAGAGATTGTTCGTTTATCCAATTACCCGTACTGGCCTTTTGGGCCAACTGTGTGCAATGTTTTCAACTCGGGATTTGTTTCCCTTGGAAGTGCCTCCATCTGCAACTTATGTGCAACAGGAATTGATCGATATTTGGCCATTTCTCGTCCTTTACGGTACTGCCGAGAAATTTCAAACACCATTGTCGCATCAATTGCCTTCATATGGCTATTTGCATTTATCAGTGGATTTATAAGTTACTTTATATGGAGTCGATCTCGCCCATTAATTTGCGCAGACCTCTCTGCTCCCTTGACCTATTCCGTTTTGCTGTTACTTTTCGACCTTCTTGCACCATTCGTAATTTGTCTTTTTGTGTACGCCAAGATATTTCGAATATCTCGTCAACAAGCGAGAAGGATCAATTCGACCTGCCGTTGGATCGGAAGAGAGCATCACTATGCATCTCAGGCAAAGAAATCAGCGAAAACGCTAAGTATTCTGGTTGGTCTTTTCGCCCTTGCATACCTTCCCTTCCTCCTATTTCATGCTATCGATGGTGCTTTCAACGAGCAACTACCGAATAGATTTTATTTCGGTGGTGTGGTAAAGTGGCTGGTTTTTGCCAACTCTTCATTTAACTGGGCCGTGTATGGATTTCTCAATAAAGAGTACAGGAAAGCATTACTCAAGATTTGTGGTGCCTTATGGTGTAAACGTCGCCACAGGATAACAGACCAAGATGATAACGTAGCCGCTTACACTATTTCGTAGAGGAATATGGTCCCGATTTAAAATCAGATTAGTTGAACAAATGTCAGATGGTAGTTACTCCAGAGGGGAGATGAAACTGTCTTGTTCGAAAGATTCTATATTAAGTCAAGAAATTTTGACCGCCTTCTTACTAGAAATCGTATCAATATGCAAAGACGGAGCCAGATTATTTGCTGAAAAGGATCTAACCAGGAGACTGATAAGTTTGTCTAGGCCATTTAAGATAACTCCCGATTTTGGTGGTCCCGAGAAATCAAATCAAATCAAATCCTCTTGTGATGATCATACCTAAGCAGCATCTATATGTTACACTCCAAACAACGATATGCAAGTAAGGTGCAAGATCTATTTCTTTCTCATGAGACTAGCTAACTTGAGCCTACGTCAAGGCACACCTCAAGGCCTGTATTGTTTTCTTTCTTCATGTAGAAGGAATATCTGAGAGTTAAATGCCTGCCGTTGGGCAAACTTCCCCCTCCCCCCCTGATGGGATGGCACTTCCCCTCCCCCCCCGATGGAATGGCATGATTAAATTGTTAAATTGCTTTCACTTAGAGACTTAGAAATATACGCCATGACTTTGTACATAATATACAAGTTTATTAGGGAAGGTACATAGTATGTTCCATGCCGTAGAAACCTTAGAACATTTCGCTTGTGAACGCAAAATGTTTGAATATAAATAAATAAAACAGATGTGTTTAAGGCAAGGAATAAAAAGGCAATCAAAGATTTTTCTGAAAAATATACTGTTTCAGAAAAGCTTGTTGCACATTATATTGAGCGGCGAACAGATAATGACGAGAACCGTGCAAAAAGAAAGCAACATGAATACAATGACATTGACTGGGAAGATCTCTATCACAGAAATCAGTTATCATCCCTTAAAGTAGGTGAACTTGAACTTTATATTAATCACCACAATATTTCAATTAAAGGAGAGAAAGACGAGAAAGCGAGGGTGAAGGCACATATATTGGCGATAAGATTTTGACTTCTATTGTGCAGGACAGTCAGAACGACATTCAGCCAGCCTCTGACTCAAATTCAGAGTCTGACAGTGACATTGACAGGGTAGAGCGCATTGTTGGATTTAGTAGTAACTCTTCAGAATCAAATGACTCAGGAGATCAGGCAGCGGTTAGTCAACAGGAGCAAGAAGCTGAAGAAACGATACCTGAGTCTAGAACGTCTCGATACGGACGGAAAAGGACACGATTCCTCCAAGAAAACTATGTGCCATGGCATAATATACATGTAGAAATGTAAACTAGAACCTATAATAAAACACCAATTAAATCATAGTAGGTGAAAAGAAAAACTTAATCTGTAAGGAAAATGGAAAGCAACATCATAAAAATCTTCATTAAAAAATTCTGGAAAAGGTGTTTGACCCTCCCCTTAAATAGCTTACAAAGAGGTATGACCCTCCCCTTTTGGCACTCACTTTCACTGATGACCCTCCCCTCTGAGGCCCCGGCCCTTCCCCCCCCCTCCTCCAAGAAAAAACGTACCTCCTCTTCTCTTCTCTCTCGTGCCTTCTCTTACTTAAGAATGAGATTCCAAACAATAAACGTGCATTTTATGAAACAATCGTTAAGTAGAATATCTTCAACACAGAATGACTACTGTACAACAGAATGTCTGGGAACTTTGTTTTATCAGCATCCATCATTGACAATTATTCTTAATTACTAGCGAAGGAAAACAAGATGATTACGTTTGAGCCGTTTGTTACACATCAGTAGCTATTTTTCCTTAAACTTTGTGATTTTCTATCTTCCGATTTAATCAATGAAAGTACGCATGGATAAACTGATAACCGAAGTTGCGCATTTGAAACATTGTAAATACGTAACTTATTAAAATATGTACATCTCTAATGTTGTTAATAGCTGGATGAACAGATAAGCAACTGAATAAATCAATAAATATTTCTGTCTATAAAAATAATTTATCTTTGTAATGTTCATTCTTTAACCACCCTAAAATGTCTGCATTGATACTCTACTGATAATTATATTTCGTGGTGTTATTAGCTTGAGTAGCAAGAGTTAATCCGTTGACCAACCAATGATGAATTGTATGGTCCAGGGTACTGCAAACAAATAACGTACACACGTTCAGTAGAGCCCAGAAACAGACGAGAATCGTGACAAACCACTCGTCCGCCAATTGTTTTAAAGTTTTGGCAGTCATCTTGTGAAGTTATGGCGTAACGTAGCAAAACTTTTCTAATGTTGTTGAATAAATAACGGCGTGGAAATTTTCACAGAAGGGATGCTAATGTCTCTCCTCTGAAATAAAAGAAAAAAAAAACAAATAGTAAGGTATTTGTCTTAGTCAATGCATCAGTAACTGACTGACAGTTTGACTGTCCGTTAGAAGGAAGAAATGAAGGAATGAGAGAAATAATAGATGGATGGATGAATGGAAAGAAGAAATATATTAGAAACCTGGTGAATTATTCATAATTTGCTTACTTTTCCTAGCTCTTCAGTAGCGCTTCCAAGAGGGAAGAGAACAATGGTATCCCTGAATCATTTTGGACCCACTAACAAATTTCACCCGAGGTACATCTTTTAAATCTTAAGCCAGTCTTGTAGTTTATCGAGCCTCTTACTACGCTTTTTCATTTTCATACCTATGAAATGAATTAATCTTATGATGTCACGAAATGACTCTTTCATTTTTGTCATGCCACATTTCCTTACTGAGCTTTCCCTTCACAGCTATAGAACGCACGTGTGTGACAAAACAGGATAAACCAAGTCTTCTGTAGGCAATTTGCATCCCCAGCTTTTCTGTTTTGTACATGAATTTTGACCAAAACGAATTTGGAATAATTCAAATCTATTTCGTCCCATTTTTTGTTGCGTTACACGGAAATGAGAACACGGCCAACATTGTTTTTGTTTCGTGAGGCATAAATGACCCATAAAACTCACCTGTTATTAGAAATCTTTTTATTGGTGAAAAACTCAGAAAACTCCAGATAGCTGTTGAACCTGAGAGAAAAATGTATAACTCGATGTTAGTCTTAGAACGTCATACAATTAGTAACACGTTTTCTAAGACTATTACTAGGGCTAATGTCAACTCTGAACAGTTTCAAATCGCAACATAAATGTAACACCCACCTGAAAAATCTTTCGCAAGAAGATAACTGTTTACGGCGAAACAACCGAACTTTTAATTAATGTGGAGTGTGGGCCATGAATATTTATGTATTTTGTTGATGTGAATGTGACGTTATTCGAAGTTTTTGTCCCTGAAAACTTTACGCAGCTTCCATTTTTAAGAATGATGTCAACCCTACAAGAAAAGGAAATTTCTGGCTTGACATTTCGTCAGACCATGGCGACGAAATCAACATGCGTTATTTACCAAGCTTTCGTTTTGATCTTTGTCATCCCCGAGATCCCCTGGCAAATTCTGACGACTGATATCCCTACATTTCTTCGTCGGCTACTGTGTAGAATTTGGTGTTGAGTCAAGGCAATAGATTCCAACTGATCATATTCTTGATTTCTATTAACTGTCAGCTTGACCATGTACATTGAATCAAAATTGTTAGAAGAATTTACATCACTTCTGATAATCAAACGTTAAGAGAAAACCTAAATGTAGAAAAATACCCGACGGCAATCATGAAAAAATGCATCAAAAAAAATTTTTTTTTCTAGATTATTTTTCTGGTTTTAAGGAATTTTCTTAATACGGCACATGTTCAAAAGAAAGCCATGACTACTGACCACACGAAACTGAAATATTTCTCGGCAGTAGTGCAATAGGAAAAAAATAATACTGGGTCATTAAACAGCAGATGACAGTGTTAGACTCCTATTTTTATGCTTAGCAGGCCTTGTGGTAGAAATCGTATCTCTGACCTCCAATTACGGACGCTCCCGGTTTGAGAGAACACAAGAAACTTCTGTTTATAAAAATTTCATAATGGAACAAATATAAGCAACTGCGAGAGCTCATGTTATAAATTATGCGTATCCAGTATATTAGACGAAGGCCACACTGAGGAAATAAAAGCTTGATAGGATTCAAGACGTTTTTATTCAACAGTCTTGATTGTATTCCTCATCTTGTTGTGATTTAATTCAAAGAAAATGAAAGTTGGCAAGCATTTAACTCAACAGAGCCTCGCCAATTTGCCTTGTGTTCACACCGTATCAGAGGCCATCACACACTTCTAAGATATCCTGAATTTTTCCTTTGCCCATCAGCGTGCCTGCTAAAAAAGTGAAATGAAAATGTTTAATCGCTAAAGGACATGGTAGAAACCGAAAAACGTTAAAATATGCATCAAATCATGCCGGTGATCTTTAAAAAAGTGAAATAAAAAAGCAGTCGGAAACAGCTTTTTTATTTCACCGGCCCCTAATTGGTATATATGCCTTAACATTCCAAAGCATCTTTCAGATTATGAAAAGGTATACGAACTCTTCATCTTTGACTTCTGTAGCAGGTTTTCTTCGGCTGCAGACCAAACCTGAACATAATGGATTGGCGATAGATAGTAATTAGGTCCGAGGAGGAAAGAAATCCTGTTGTCAGGTAAGAACAAGTAAGCATAAGCTTATAACAAAGTCAAAATGAGATTTAATAAAAAATAAGCAAAGCGAGGTTCTTCATTGCCCATCGAGGTAAAGTGACCGGGATCGCTCAAAAGTTCATCCCAAGCAGTGCATTTGTTAAAAAAAAAATCTTAAGCTTTCTTTTCATTATAGAATATGAAAGCAAGACGCAACTGACTAAATTTTTACAATTACGCTTACCGTCGACTTAAATGTGAGTCAGTTGTCCACGGAAACTGGTACTGTTCTCAACCAAACAATAAATAATTACAGAGGGTGGAAATTGATGCAATTTTATTTAAGGTGCCTCGATTTGAATATATTCCTATGTTCCGGCAAGTTCACATTAGAAAGCGGAAATCATTCCACTACAAACACTCGTTCTCTAACCCCCCCCTTTAAAACATCTGAAACTGACTGCAAGTTAAATCCAGTGTTTTCATTGATATTTAGTGAAACTTAATCAATTGAAGACCAGCATACGACATGGCAAATGCAATTAAATTCAGGGCCGATTAACACGGTACGACTTTGTCGCAGGCGACAAGCTTGTAACAGGCTCACGTCACGAGTTTTTCTTGTAAATCAAATCTTCAAATCGCTTAATTCGCAGAATTTTGAAACATCTGTTAAAAACGCGGAGACGATCGTAGCCGAAATCGATAGAAAATGAGGGATCTTTTTTACCAATTTCTACTGATTAGGGAGTGGAAGGTAAAGGTTTTCTTGCGTCAGAATTGAAGACCAAATTGCCGTTCTTGGCAAGTCTTCCTTAACAAAATCGAAGATTACTTTTTCAGAAGAGACAGATATTTTTTACGCTGTGGTGTGAAGAAAAGAAGGTACAAGGAAAATTTTAAAAAGGACTCAAGGAAAACTGCGGTTGACCGAACTTTGTGAAGAATGGAGGAAAAAGTTGGTTCTAAAGGAGGAACTTTTGTTTTTGTGCGACTTGAGATAACTTGGCCGAGTTCTCTCTATATCTCGTCTCTTACAAATTTTAGCAAAAGTGACGGCGGCCGAAACTTGTCGGATATGGGCCATTTTGTTTGTTGCTATTCCCAGTCTTTCGGAGTGGTATTGACTCGATTTTGACCACGGAAAGTTTCAATTTAGTTTTTCGGCAGCTTGCATATCCCAAAAGCATTGATCCCTCGAAGGTAACAACCCTCCGAAAGTCGTGACTTTCCATTAAAATTATTTCGCTCTTTATAGATGACAGAATGAAGTTGAAAGAAACGACAAGTTTCTTTCGTTGTAGAAAAGCCAAAATACACAAACCAACTACTTTAGTAGTGACTCTTAATAAAAACTGTCAGCAGACTTTTTTATCTGTCGAAATTTTACTCTGAACCGCTCATGTTAGGTGAACTTTCACCCCCGGGGGCCAGAAGCAAGACGCAAAGCCGAGGAAACGAATGTTGTAAGTTCCGAAAAGTCTTAGAGGAATGTTGTAGAATATTTAACAATTATTCCACGAAGTTGCTAGATATGAAATCATAGATAACCACCGAGTTGGTTGTAATAATCTCATATTCGACAAATTTGATTGTTTTGGTAAAAACGCAAACAAAAAGTAACCCTACTAACCAGCTGTTTTTGTTTGACAATGACTGTTCAGCCACTCTGAACAGAAATTAACTTTCGCTTGTCGCAAATATTACCGCAACATATAAACAAATCATATAACACGTTTAGCAACTTAAAACCGCTTAATTATCCGCTACATACATGAAATATTTTCGTATCAAATGTAATGGAATTTTTTTGGTGGATATGGGAGTCGCATTTTCTTTTACTTCTGTTACTTATTTAATGGTAAGCTCTCATTCAACCTGATTTTTTTTCCGCCATTGCTTCATGGCTCGCTCTCCAAATTTTTTATCACTTTGTTGACGAATTCATTGACCGTATTTGTCGGAACTAGGTTACCAGCTCATAACATGGCTCCGTTCAGCCAATCAGAAGGCCAGAAATTCAATGACCGTGCTTCATTTTCTGCTAATCAGGAATATTCGTGCATTACTGTAAATTTGCCATGCTTAGTCATGCTAAGACATATCATAAATAGAATATGATGTAATAGTTTATCTTAATACGTCGAGCTGTATGTATCATGCCTAGTAATGACAAGAGAGATTTTAAATAGAATCTGATATGTTTGTATAAACCTTCCTGAACTGTTCGGTATATTCAAATAGGTAGAGTCCTTTGCTACCCCCGACGTTCAGGTCTTCCCCAAATTATCCCTGTCATCAGATTTGATGTTAAAATAATATAACTAAAGAATACAAATAAACTTTTTTGGATGCTTTTTATTAACAACTGGATGAATCTTTGCTGCAAATCTTTCTAAATCATGATAATGCATTATTACATTTCATATCGTTTGATTTCATCAGCTTCCTTGGAAAGTTTGCAACGTAGACATCTTGGTTGAACTGAATCAGCAATAATGGTTTGAGCGGTTATTAAGTAACGTTCGTGTCCACCATATATTTATATATTTGCTCTGACGAAGGGTTACCGCTCGAAACGACAGCTTCGGAAACTCTTAACAGTGGCTAATTTACGTTATCAACGCAGTTGATAAAATCAAATCATCTTCTAATTCCCTATCGGCGCAGCACCACAGTCTTTTTAGAAACTTATTCCCTTCATCATACATATTAGATTATTTCGACCGGGGTTTCAGTTATATTACCACTACTATGTAAAATTTTAATTTCAACGTTGTACGTGTCAAGCACAGAAGTCTGATGACTGCTTGCACTTTCGCTGGAAGAAAGTTTTAACCACCAATTCAGGTCAACTTGCCTTATTCTCCAGTTCTCTCAGCGACATGATTGATAAGCCATTGGAACGATATCGAACTGATATCTGGCATATGAAGATAATCAGCCGGGTTTTATTATCTAAGTTGATAATGTAAATTAGCCACTATTAACAGTTTCTATAGCAATTGAAGCGAGGTTTGGCATTCATTGCATAAAAAAGAGTGTGAATGATTTTAGATCGTCTTCTATCTTTCTAAAGTCAGGAGAAGTGAATCTGAACTATCTATTGCTGATACACCGTCCTTCCCCTCAGTTACACAATTTGTCAAAATTGAAACAAAAATTTTCAGTAAGCTTCCCTCTCTAGAAGTATCTTATGATACGTAAGAAGATTTTCTGTTCACATCGCATAAACTTTACCTAGTAGAGCATAATCTTTAAGGTTCACCGACAAACTTTCGTCAATTTGCACGCACAGTGTATCATTGATATCATGTTGCTTTCCGGAGTGTATCCTCGCGTTTCATGTATTCCTACGTAAAAACATTAGCGATATTTACTTCAGCAAACTGGATTGCCAATTTTTGTACAAACCATTTGTCGAGTTCAATGCTTAAGTGCCTATGTCCAAAGTTCGCTATGAATCCTACAAATCTTTCTTGATTATCTAGTAATTTTATACTCGGTATATTTAGTAAGTAAACCCCCTCAGGCGGCTGGTACATCGGTTGATAATAGGCACGGCTGAGATATTGTCCGAGAAATGAATATTTGGCTGAGAACCGAAGCTTCGAGGGCAAATGTGAAGTTTCGAGGACAATCTCAAGCTGTAAACGGGTTTATTTATTTTATGACCTTGCCATCAATTTTCGTTTCTCGCGAGAAGCAGCATTTGAGATCAGCTTTTTACTGTCGCTGTCACTGGAATCAACCAAACGAGTTCATTTTTCTTCCACGTGGAGTAATAAAGATGACGAAGGGAAACTCTTGAGCTGGCCTTATCCGTTGGCTTTGTTTCTTTTTGATGGAAATAATCGAAGGACAAATATCGACGTAAACGTGGCTTAAAGCGTGATAATTGTCCGGTGATTTGTAACACGTGACGTAAGCGAAAATTAATGGTGGATTATAGAGAGCTCTATTCCTCTTGGGAGACACGTACATAATTATCATTTTATTTAAAATTTACTTTTTTAGAGCGATAACGACTGATGAAAAGACAAAGCGATAACTACCTGATCAAAATTAAAAGCAAACTTAAAAAGATTTGTCTTTTATCTAAAAGGATAAATATTAGAACATAATCATAAATTTAAACTCAGATGAATTGCTTCATTTTTCTGGAGCAGCAACAGCTGGGATCTTGCTCCCTACGATTAAAGGTTAAAATTGTAATACACCATTTCAACTAGGGGGAGATGATGATTGAAGGCTTCCGGTAGGTATCTGAGGGGAAACTTAAAAATAACTTAGAGATTCATAGGCCTTAAATGTAAAAGTGTATCTTGAATTTGATGGGTTTAGCAAAAGCTAGCCAGAGAAGTGTAATAAGGATCGGCATTTCGTGATCATAGATTCAAGAATCAGATTTTATACGAGTATCAGCGTTTCGAAAACATTGGCATTTCCTAAGACCGTGCTCTGGAACACCAAACAGAAGAGAGTTACAGTTATCAAATTCTTTTATAAAAATTGTTGTAGTCGTGGCGGATGGGTACTTCCTAATGCAAGTGATGTTACGTAAACGATTAAAAGCAGCATAACACAATGAAACCCCTTGAGGTATTATGGACATAGTATTAGGGAATTTAAGAAACGACGACGGCGACGCCGTGGAAAACGTCGGTTAAAAAGTGAACCTTCATTTACGAATCTCGCGGTACTATAAAGTAATTTAGTTTGTTTCTCACTGTCAAAACTGTCTCGAAACTGAATATGGAACTCAGTTTTAAGTAAAAAATAGAAATTTAAAAAGTGGCCGTCGTCGTTCACGTTCTCCAGAAAACGCAAAGTTTGGTCATTTCACGTTGTTGTTTTGCAGAGAACGCAAAGAAATTCTATTCTGCTCATTAAACCTTTTGTTTAGGGACATTCCCGTTGCCATTGCCGTCGTGGTTTTCTTTAACTCCCTATTGTCGACAATTACTCCAATGTTCCTGGGATAATTGGAGGGTTGAATTAAAAACCCGATCCAAAGCATAGCAAAGCGACTGACTGACTAATCGCAAATATCTCTTCTTTACTAACCCTTAAAATCCCTACTATCTGGTGGTTTGCACACCTGCTCAAACATCTGAAATTCACTCCTTCTTATCTGAGAGTGGTTCCCTCCGAGTTCAACGTCAATCTAGGGCTCTCTACGATGACGCAGAGGCGATGTTTTATACCATCAGAAAAAAACTTTCAATCTGTGGGTTATTTCGCTAGTTACGTTGGTTAGCTATTTCTTACGGATAAAACACGAGAATCGTTGTGTATAGTTTTAAAAATGCTATTACAAATACATTTAATGAAAGTGACCAAGTTAAGTTATCTTATAGGGTATATATTCTTTACCGATTTCTTGATAGTTAATATTCAGGGTGCGAGTAAATTTTTTCGTTAGAGAAACGTGTGTATCTATGGCTATTTTGCTTTCACTTTAACAACGAAATTCTGATTTAATTCTATTTGTGGATATCCCGCGCGGAAAGGTCGTTGAACCCTCGTTTTAAGCATTGCAAAACACATCACGTATCCTGTTCTTTATATATTGTACTACTGCAATTAATTAAGTTATTTGACTCTTAAGAGTGATCATTGTGAACATATCTACGTGTACATATATGAAGCGCAGTGAACTTGAGTTAAGTACTGAAGGAAGCTTGTAGTTTGAGAAAGTCGTGACAATGGTGATGTTGATTTAAAAAAAAAATATTGAACTTGCCAAGTGTCGTAATTGTTATGAAAATTGTGATATGTCCCCTATAACGAATGTCCGTATCTATGGTTATTGTATCTTATTCCTCAAACTCGATAACCTGTTTTTCTTGTTATGCTTAATCAATAACACCATGAAACACGTCTTGAACAGAAATTGATTGAGATTTGAAATCTCCTACAGGGGATTAAAGAAACTTATGAATTTAATAGGGAGAAGATTAAGTGAATCTTTCATGACACCTGAATGCTTTATAAAGAGTGAAGACTGTGCTAGCTTTTCATAGTTCGCTCTCGCGATAACCTTTGTCGAACGTTTGAAATTCTTATATCAACGGCAGTCATGAAATTTGGCGGAGTTCTTGTTCTCGTTTGTCTAACTATTTTTGCAAATGCAGGCAGAAAATTTTGCAGGGAAGCAGATCAGAAGCTAGAAGATCTCGCCAACAAGATTGAAGAGCTGGACTGTTCAGATCTGGGTTCTACAGGTTCAAAACTGTTGCGTTTTAGCTTCTTTTTTCTATACGCCCAGCCATCTAGCTCTTTAAACCGCTCTTTAGAAATAGCATACGCCTTTAATATGTGCGTTTAAAAAAACCTTTACTGGTTTCTTTTTTGTAATTTTGCTCAGGTTGTGAGCCAGGACCAAAGTCGTGCAAAGAAATCTACGACAAAGACAAGTAAGTAGCAGAAATTATATGTTAGAATGAACAATTTTCTCCCCTTGCTAACGTAACCGATCAAGTTATAAAAAAGTTAAACCATTTAAAACCATGTGAGTTTCGACGTCGTTTTGTAGGCCAAGCGAAAACAAGGCATACATGCTCCAAATGGATTCTGGAGAGCTGCCTGTTTACTGTAACATGGATGGCGTTGGTCTTGGTGAATGTGGGAGTGGTGGATGGACGCTGGTTATGAAGATTGACGGGACAAAGGTACCTTTGATTTAAATGAATCGAAACATCGTGTCTTGAATCAACTGAAATTAAAACATATTTGTGTGCTGATCTCAAAGTAGGAAAAAACATGTCGCCAAATTAAAAAAAAAAATTCATTCGACGCAGCGATGATGGAGAGACCGGTTGAATATGATTTCATCGTGTTTGGTGTTAGATTCTTGAAAGATTGACGCTTGAGACTCGCAGCTGTGTTAATATTTATTTCAGAACGATTTATTTCCTTTCATTGCGGCAGTTTTTATAAGGATTTAAGATAGAGGAAATTTCCTGACTGTCTAAAATTAAAGAGATATAAAAGGCAGACACCAATTTTGATTGTTTTACCGAGTGAGAACACAAGTCTTTCGATACATCATTCACATATTCTCACCATTAATTTTGGCTGTTTGCATGACATTTTGAAGCGAACGTTCCATTACGACTCACCTTTCTGGACCAACAAAAAGGAGTACGGCATTCCAGAAGGAGAAACTGGCTTGGACGATAACGAGTCCAAGCTACCCACCTACTGGAATACACCCTTCACCAAGATCTGTCTCATAATGAAAATAAAGGGACAGCCCACGACCAGGTTCCTTGTTCTGAACGAGAAGGCGAGGTCGCTGTATGCCCTCATTGGGGATGACAAGTACCGCAAAACCAAAGTGAGTCGTGGAGCGTGGAAGAAACTGATTGGCCCTGAGGCTTCCCTACAGCTCTTCTGCTACAGAGAGGGATTCAATGTTGTTGGCGATAACAAGAGTTTTTCGAAGGCAAGAATTGGCTATGTGGCCGATCAAGAAAACGATTGCCTTAGCTTCGATTCCAGAATTGGGTTCGGCACCGGGGGACACCAGGATGATTCCAACACATGTGGCAATGAGGCTACAAACTCTGCGGATAACGGAGATAAACACATTAAGGCAATGGGGTATATCTTGGTTCAGTGAAAAGATCATAGTCTCAACTGAACACATTCCAAATAAAAAAATGGCTTAAGGGGAGGTAAACATACCAAACTAAAAAGGTACAACGAACTTTGCAGGTCTACTGCAACGTTTCAAATGTACGCAAACTTAAATCATGGAAAGTCTTCTCACTACTGTCATAAAGATTGAAATAAACGAGGGTTTAGATCAAATTTTTTGTGTTCACTGATGTTTTTAAGCGGTGATACATTGACCATCCTCTCCGTACTATTTTGTTCCGCCAAACTGATTAAAAAATAAATTTTTGTTATTAAGTATTTTGAAAAATAAATTCCATTTAAAACCATCAACAATTATGGAAGTTTTTTTTATGAGGATCACTATATCCACATGCAACTATTGAATGCAACATCTATTCAATATATCCCTGCAAGTTAACAGAAAGTTTGGTTGGCAATGGAATTGAAAAATTCCATATCACTGATACAAATCGGATAACATGCACTCTTTCTGGAATGCTACCGTCAAATAAGTTTATTTTTTTCACGTCTTCTAGCAATTATTAACTTGAGTGCGGTTTATAGAGAATAACTAATAGGAACGTTTACGTTAAAGGTAAACAACTAAGTATCATTACTAACATTTATCAAAAAACAAATAAAGCATTAACTAACCACTCAAAAGCCACCCTTAAGGCGATATTTACTTGTCTGTCCGAAAACTTCAATTTCAGTTTTAGTTTAATGATTGATTTTTTTTTTCATGCAGCTGAAAATATGAAAGGAAGCACTAGTGAAATTTATCCTATCTAAAATCATTCGAAGTCTAAGTCTAACACCATTTCGCAATGCAGAAGTATAATGACTATGATGAGAAATAAAGAACTTTTGTACAAAGAAAACATCTCGGTGAATTCTTTTAAGAGGTTGGTCAACTTATCAAACCAAAGGGCGGAGAGTCTAACAATCGGGACTTCGCGTAATATGATATATATTTTTTTAATTTAAACGACTTCTTTATTGAATATTCAATGTCACCGAGTGAAAATAACACTCAGCCGCAGTTTTCGACTATCTTCCGTCCTTGAATAAAAATACTTTTTTGGAGTCTATTAAAAATGATGGAATACTCAGTGTTTTTCTAAAATTAGATAAAAGTAACCGCAAAAAAGTGAGAATCTTGTAATCAGTTCTCAGATGCACCGTTAGCGCTTTCATTCACCTTATTCTTTTTATTAGAACTCGTTAATATGCAAACGAACAGTTCCCCATTTATTCGAGGCTGAAACAAACCATCCTTCAATTAAAAGTTAAGTAAAAACGTATGGGAGAGCTGCTTCTTGTAACACCGCTACCCAATGAAATTTGAAAACACGTTTTTTGGCAGGAGGCCGTCCTAAAAAGTTACCATGATACTCCGGCCTTTAAGCAGAAGCACAGCCCTAATAAGGCTGATGAGCTATGTAGGCTTTTTTTAACAGCATATTAGAATTCAGGGTGCGTGCAAGAGAATTGATGACCGAATTCAGAAGCAAAGATGTTCAAGGGGTCATAATTAAACGACAATAATCACTTGGAGAAATAGAAAGTCAGCCTCCGAACATAATAATTAATAATAATTCGTCTATAGCGAAGTGAATATTGTTGAATAATCTTCGAGATGAAATCGTGGGGATTATTTACAATGTTCACTGAGCCTGAGACGAACAATCGCTTTAATATAATTAGTCAGGTGCTTTCTACTTCTGTTTTTAATTCTGTCAAAAATAAAAAAACATTGCGCACATTTTGCTATAACTGTATTGATTACTCATATCAAGATCAAACAGGCAGTTTTAGGTGAGTTATTTAATCAAATCAGCAAAACCTTCACATATTACTTTTGAAAATTGTTCCGCCAGTATCTTTTGTGGTCTTCGTGATTAAATTTTTTTATGGCGTTCGTAATTTCCCCGAAAACATTGACAAAACGAGGGGCAGCCATTTTAAAATTCAGCGCCCCCACAATAATCACTTCGCGCGATGTGACGAGATATGACACAATACTCGACCAATCAAAGCGCGCACGTCTCTATAGTTAATCACCTAAGCAATTTTACCAAACCATACCAACATATTATAATAATATAATATGTTGACGAAATTTACAGCTCTGCAATTTCAGGTTACAATGTGAACATTATGATATTCTTTGGTGAGTGTTACAGTACAGACATATGAATTGCGTATGGGACAGGCTCAAACCAAGCGAACGGGTAAATTGACAGTGTCAACATGTCACCTCCAAGACAGAGCTTCCTAGCCACGGGCCGAGGTGAATGGGCCGCTAGCAGCTCCAGCTACTGGAGTTTGGTATTGAACATTCCAATTACGTGGAGTACAGCTACAGGAATAAACTTATGCACCAACATGGCTACGGTTTTCATATTTCGAATAGGCTGGAAATTGTCATCAGTTTTTAAAAGAGAATGTAAATTGTTAATAATCTCTTGTTCCTTGATAAGCTTGATTAGTGCTGAATACCGGTCTCTTCAATTATCTGCTGTGATTGACAAGAAACTCATGTTTTGCCGTGATTAGGCAGTTTCATCTTACAAAGTTCTCGGTCTGACCCTGTGTGACACCCTGAAGTGGAACGATAATACCAACGATATCGTCTCCAAAGCGTCCAAGCGTCTGCACATTCTTAGGGTCTTGAAGCGCGCTGGGGTCCCTCCGGCGGACCTTGTCACCATCTATAGCGCCTTGGTTCGCTCTGTCCTAGAATACTCTTCCGTTGTCTGGGCTACCTGCCTTCCTCACTTCCTCATTGACCAGCTAGAAGCTATCCAGAAGAGGGCTCTGCAAATCGTATATCCTGACCTCCACTATCAACAGGCTCTTGCGCAAGCCAACATTACCAGTTTAGATGATAGACGCGCCCACCTGTGTCTCAAAGTGTGGCACAATATCAAAAATAACCCGGCCTAACAGCTGCACCGTCTCCCCCCTCCCGTGCGATCCGAATGCCACTCTCACCATATTAGGAACAGTAGCAGTTCTAGCCGTTTTCAGTATAGAACAAAACGCTTTGGTTCTAGTTTTTTCCCAGCAATGGCGAAAATCAACTAATCAATAGGAGTCTGGTTATTTTTATTATAGTATTTTATCCATATCCGAATTGTAAATAACTTATAAATAGCCTGTAATCCCAGTCCCTTCGAAACAAATGTAACTTTATTTCTTGTATCATGTAGGCACACTGTAATTCATAGTTTTTATGCCACTGTGTGTATTTTAATAAACCATTATTATTATATTATGATTATTGAAAGACCATTTGCTAATCCCATTACGTTTTTACATATCACCTTTTATTGCGCAGTCCAAAATTCACTTCAAATTTTAAAAAAGTTAAGAGGGAGGGGAAGGCTTAATTTTTGTTTCGTGGAAACGTCTAAATGATACAGAAAGGAAAGGAAGACCGTCTTCTTTTATCAAATTTTCTCTTTTATTTGCATCTTATCTGTTTATAAGCTACACTATACCTTATAGATTGTGTTTATCCCTCATTTCGGACATGCTTTTTTCACTAAACAAAGATGTATCCGACGGTCCTGATGGTCACGTCGCCATTATCAGAACTGAAACTGCCCACGTTTCCACACGAAGGGTCGCCTGTTGGAAAACCACCGGCACCAAAACCGATTCTGGAGTCGGGGGATGCGCAGTCGTTTTCCTGGTTGCCTATGATGCCAATTCGTACTTTTGAACCACCCACGCTACCCATGACGTTGAAGCCCTCTCTGTTGCAGTTCAGCTGTAGGGAGGCATTAGAACCGATAAGCTTCTTCCATGTGTTACGACCAAGTGAAGTGGCACGGTTATGGACACCCTCAATCAGGTCATGCATTGATCTGGCTGCCTCGTTCAGAACAAGGAACCTAGATTACTCACCATTCCTGCTCATTCCGAGGCAGATCTTGGTGAAAGGCGTGTTCCAATAAGTTGCCAACTTGGTCTTGGTCTCCCGGTCGTCTAAACCTGTCTGCCCTGCAGAAGATTCATATGTCTTCTTGTCTTTCCAATACGAAGCGTGGTAACCGAAAGTTTGCTGTAGAAAGGATAACAGAAGAAAAAACACAGTGAGCCGACCAGGGGATCAAACCCGAACTTTACAATTTGGCGTAAACCTGATGCTTTGAAGCACCCTGTGACTGGGATCATTTCAAAAAATGTCCAGGGAATGTTTTCCATATTATAATGTTGAGCTTGGCTTGAAAAATCTCATGAAATGCCGCTAAAATTCAATGGAAAAGACTGTAGGTAGGACTAAAGTAAGTCTGTAAGACTAAAACAAATTGACCAAAGAAAGCTTAGCAAAAGTGTAACTTAAGGCGCATTGAGGTCCGCAGAATGAGTCCAGATTTATCCTAAACATTTCATCAACAATGAAACAGCTTGATTAAAACGAGTTAATATCGGAGCAACAACCTTTGAGCCGTCCATCTTCATGACCAGCGTCCACCCCACACCTCCACAGCCACCGAGGGCATGACCATTCATGTTGCAGTAGACCTGGGTTAATTTCCCGTCCAACTTGAGCTTATATGCCTTGTTTTCCATTGACCTGTAAGTTAATGAAGAAGGAGTATGGTTTTGGTCATTGACCCCTAAGAGGGACTAGCATCTAATTTCTCTTTACAACATCACCCCTGAATCACATATTAAGATTATAAAGTGAAGAAAAAAATCTCCAACAGAAGAAGCTCTTGATTGGTATCTTGGGAAATGTATGGAAAACAGTACAGAGAACTCGCAAACTGATGTTAGGGTGTAAAGGGTTAGAAATTGAATCTTCTCGTTTTCCCATATCACTTTTCTCTTAAGAGAGGATGTCAGCATCCATCGAACAAATTTGAAATATTGTGGCCCAAAATTCGTTTTGTCTCCTACTTTCATATTTTGTAGCCCAATATGTCCTAATAAAAGTGGTGTAGTTTTTTGTGAAAATATGTTTTCGTTTTCGAGAAATGATTTTTTTCGTTCGACCGAATATGCAAATTTTTACCCTGAATATTACCCGAGTTGTGTGACCTCATGTAACGAATTTTACTTGACCTCCGATATTTCTGTCAACATAATCCTTTGTTTTATCAGCTAAACTTAAGCCCCTGTCATTATTGAAGCTGGCAAAATATTTAAAATATTTATTTTTTTGTGAATATTTTTGTCCGACATACTTTTTCTATGTCGAAAAGTAGCCTCAAAACAAAGACAGTTTTAACAATGGCCGATATGTCAGAGTCTACTGAGCTTCTACCTTTAAAAGAAAAAAGGATGGTTATATAGTTACTGCAAAAATTGCTTTGTGTATTTGCGTTGTTCTATCGTGAGACGAACTCAAATTCCGGCAAAATTTACTTGCTGGCGACTATGAAATATACGTGGTGTGCCTACTTGTAAAATTTGTAAAAAATCTAAAATCTAAAATATTTGTAAAAAAATCTAACATAAAGCTCTTACCATGTTTATTCATGATTTTAGTAGCTGTTTCAATGATCAAGTTATGCTCTACCACATTTTAGCCAGATTTAATTTGCAGTTTATAAATCTTCTCCACATTATTATATTAGTTGCATGACAAGCGTGACACATAAATTAAAAGATGAATCAACCTCCGAGAGACAGAGATCCAGAAACTGAAGTTGATCTTATTTTGTCGCAAGCCGGCATCTTCGAGGCGCCAAAAGATATGGATAATTTTACAATTCGCCACATTCATAGATCAAATCTCGGTACCGGTATTGGGTGGAGTCGTAGTTCCATTAGTAGATGTAGAGTACCTTAAGAAGTGTACGGCCATGGTAAAGGTAGGGTTAAGTCGATTCCAGAAGCCTATTGGGGAATTGGCAAGCGTGTACCACAGATAGTATGCAAGAGGTCTGGAAAATTCATATAACTTGGCTACTTACCACCTTGTGCAAAATTACGCGTCCTGTCAGACTTAGGCCTACATTGGGAATTGGTCAATGGACTACCAAAAATCCAGACAGAGACGGAGTTTTCTATTCTAATGTCTGAGCATTTTGTAGGCTTCCCACCGTCTGGCGGGACGCGTAATTAAGCTCAGTGGTAAGGGGCCCTTACGTACTAGCTACAAGACGCTGACGAAACTTTTTCCTCTTCACCGAAAATCACATTAAAATTTGTCCTTGCTAAATTTCAAGTGTGCTGCACTTATCAGCACCCCCGTGGAATCCCTGCACATAAGAGGGCGAGGATGTGCGCCGGAATTTCGAAAAACGACCCCTATAAAATTATAGAAGGTACCTGAGTCTTATCCGTGTGAGAGTGGCAAAAACTGATGTCTACCCCTAAAAAGTACCAATTTAAACACAAAAAATTGAAAGATCCCAAAAATAAGAACTCCTTTATCGATGTGCTCCAGAGGCTCAAGTCAGATCATTAAAATCGACCTAGTAATGCTTATTTCAGGTATTTTATGGAGCGAAAAACACCCTAAAAGGTATCAGCTAGGTCTCTGGTAGTCCACTAAAGTTTGAGACACTGTAAAAAGTACCAGATCACTGATTTTGACCCCTGCAAGGTACGGCAAGCATCCTCACCCACTTCCTGAGTAATACATATAGATCCAAATTCTTTCATCACATAAAAAGTTGTAGGACCTGATAGCATCTTAGGGACGGACCATTAGATTTTTGGGGGCGGGTGTGTTGAGGGGGGGTGTTGGGGGGTGTTGGGGAGGGGGTGTGGGGTGTTGGGCAATGACCCCCGAAAAAATCGAGCACAGCCTTAATGGAAGAAAACACATTGTGCAATTAGCATAAGTCCCCCCCCCCCACCCCCCTCCCCGCATCAAAAATCGAATGGTCTGTCCCTAAGATATCTTTTACATTATTCCAAAATGAATTTCATACCGCGTTTACATGGAAGATAATTTAGCTTGTAAAAACAAGTATTTATGTCCTTTTTCTATGCTGCCCTCGCTCCTAAAGAGGATTCATACAGATATAATTGTCGTCGTCCAGAATAAGTGTTTCGTTCTAAAAGGAAAACCCAATAAACTCATTCAGAAATGACTCGTTTCGAATAATTTAGCTCTGGTATCATGTGGCAACCGGGATGAACTCATTCCAATATCATGTAAAAGGCCCCTCAGAGTTTTTATTCCCAGAGCGTCACGCTTTGCTCTCCTGCCAAATACAATATAAATTTTAATAGCGTTGAAGCAAAAACCAGCTTTGAACTGCTACGCTGCTACTGAAACAGACCACTGTAGAGCATACACATTAAGTCACCCAGGTGACCAAGATTACGCGATACACTGTGACCATAACCCCGATGACAGGTGTGATAGATGCTCTCAGCTTGCTTCCGTTGGTGGTGACATCGAAGAAGTTCTAGAAACAGCCCAGTGTTCAGTTGAAACCAAAGACGAATTGGTCTTTTTGAAATTTAGAAAAAGTCAGACTGATTGGTTTGGCAAGCGAGGAATCCCGTGGCATATTGCAGTCACGATCAGAAGAGGAGTTGAGGGACAAATGGAAATAATGACGTTTGTCCACCTATTTGATAGCTGCAACCAAGACAGCAGCAGCGTTCTTGTCATACTATCGATGTTTTCCGTCAATTGAAAGGAGTTAAAGTCCATTTATCTCAGGCAAGACAACACTGGCTGTTATCACTGTGCGTTAACCATCGTTACAGCCAGGCAAGAAGCCGAGGTAAATCGTCTATGTCCTGCCAAGATGGATTTCTCTAATTCAAGGGGGAAAGGGCTCGTGTAATCGGAAAGCGGCGACCACACGATAGTCCATCTGAATTCAGGGCGTGATATTGAAACGGCTTCTCAGATGTTTGAAGCGATTAACTCATTTGGTGGCGTATTTGGAGTGAAGGCCATGCTCTGCAGTCCTCCATCGTCCACAGTCAGAACGTCAGTAAAATGGGAAGGTGTCAGCTTTGTCAACAACGTCCAGTACAGCGGGGACTGTCTGAAAATCTGGAGAGCCTACAACATTGGCTCGGGTATAGTTCTTTCCTGGAGTAAATTTGATCGTCTCTCTAAAGATGAAGTTCCCGTCTCTTCTATCCTGCACAAGTTACACCCAATCAGACTTTGTTACCGTCAAGTCGAGAAGAGTCAAGAAGACTCCTGATTTAGAAGAAGAAGACGTAGATAATGGTGCAGACGGGCCCAGCAATGCCTCTAAAACTCCGTTTGCCTGCCTTGAAGAGGAGTGCATTAAATCATACAAAAGATATTTCTCTCTTTTGAAACACATGGAATGTGGCAGGCACAAGCTTTCTCTTGAATGTGAAACGCTTTATGATCGCGCTTTGTTGGGGTATGCGTCAAGGCTAGAACACGGAACGACTGCAGCACCTGAACTAGGGAAAGCAGTTTTTTTACCCAAATTTTTCAGCCCCATCTCTCCCAATGGGATGGGCGCCGAAATGTTCTCGCATCCGGAGTATTCGGTCTACTGTGAAACAGGAAGAGTACTTAGACGCTAAATTTTAAATCAGAGAGCGGTCAGGCCAAAAAGAAGATCCCGCAGGTTTTCAGCAAAGGATGCCACTAGTGCGCGGCTATTTCAAAGCACCGAATTTCTAACTGCACAGCAGATTGCTGGCTATTTCTCCCGTCTAGCTGCAAAGAGAAATACTGACGAAATAAATACGCAGGAAAATGAAGACGAAGACCGCCAGTTTGGAACATGAAACCCATCTGCAACAGATGAGAGAGAAAGTTGTGACCAATGTTTCAATTCAGAACGCCCATCCAATCTTGTACGACGCATATAACATCTGCGAACTTGTGGAACAGTCCAAACTTTCAACATTTTCTATCTGCATGCTCCGGGAAATTTGTTCCTCATTTGGACTAGACACATCAAACATTACATTAAAGCAAAGAAAGCAGCCCTAAATTGACACTCTCACAGACCTTGTAAAGGGTTGCAAATGCCACACTAACAACATCAATCGTCGTCTCAGATAGTGTACAAATGAAACTGTTCATCTGAAACATACGGCACTATGGGGTGCATCCAACTAGCATATTTTGTACAAAGGGTGAAGCACTCGTTTAAAGTTCAACGAAATTATGTATGCATATAAGCTGCTTAGGTTGGAGGGAAAAACCCGTAAGATATCAGAGTGCGGAAAATTCAAGTCTACGTTCTATATAGTTTCCTGATTTTCTTTCTAGGACCAGTAGTCCAGAACGGTGTTTTAGGGTTAAATGCCTCATAGCACTCTTACATACGCTAAAAAAGTATCACATCAGTTTATTTTCTTTCACAGTATATTATCATCAATTAGTTAATTAATTAATTGTCAAGTATTTCTAAATGCTGTGCGCGGATGGTGCTGTGTATTGATTCCCTTCCACTTGTTTGCTTGGTGCTTTTAATTTCGTGTTATTGTATTTTGTACTTTTTTTCAACAAATTTTCGCAGAATTTAATTTGTTATTGGCCCGTCCTCCCCCTTTACATCGACTAAAGAGAAGATTAAGCAAATATTTCTTCTTAAAAGCGGGACAATGAAGAAGGAGTGTTCTCTCACAACTGAAACATTCTTTTTTTGCTGCACTTTAGAAATGAAATAAGCATACAGAGAACTGCAAGCAAAAGCATAAATATTAGCGTAAGTAGAATACTTTGTAAAACTCTTAAAATAAAAACAAAGGCAAGTAAATTGATTGAAATATCTTGATCTCCGCACAGTGTACCAACATTATTTTTTCCTTTGAAAGCTTTTTGGTTATTTGTATTTATTTATATCTTTATTTTATCTTGTTTGCACGTATTGCATGCCATTAAAAGAGATGTTATGCTCACGTGATTTTTTACGCGACCTTGTGGTAATAAAAACAAAGGCAAGTAAATAGATTGAAATATCTTGATCTCCGCACAGTGTACCTACAATAGTAAAGGAATAAAGGGGTAAGTTTCTAAAGAAACTGTGGTGCTGCGTCGGTGCGAGAGTATAGCATAAGGGTTAGGGTTAACAACTGGGTTGAAAACGTAAATTAGCCACCGTAAAGGGTAAAAACGCTGACGTTTCGAGCGTTAGCCCTTCGTCAGAGCGACGCTTCGCTCTGAAGAAGGGCTAACGCTCGAAACGTCAGCTTTTTTACCCTTTACGGTGGCTAATTTATGTTTTCAACCCAGTTGTTAACACTAAATTACCTGCCAGATCTGAACAGTCCAGCTCTTCAATCTTGTTGGCGAGATCTTCTAGCTTCTGGTCTGCTTCCCTGCAACATTTTCTGCCTGCATTTGCAAAAATAGTTAGGCAAACGAGAACAAGAACCCCGCCAAATTTCATGACTGCCGTTGATATAAGAATTTCAAACGTTCGACAAAGGTTATCGCGAGAGCGAACTATGAAAAGCTAGCCCAGTCTTCACTCTTTATAAAGCATTCAGGTGTCATGAAAGATTCACTTAATCTTCTCCCTATTAAATTCATAAGTTTCTTTAATCCCCTGTAAGAGATTTCAAATCTCAATCAATTTCTGTTCAAGACGTGTTTTATGGTGTTATTGATTAAGCATAACAAGAAAAACAGGTTATCGAGCTTGAGGAATAAGATACAACAAGCATAGATACGGGCATTCGTTATAGGGGACATATCACAATTTTCATAACAATTACGACACTTGGCAAGTTCAATATTTTTTTTTTAAGTCAACATCACCATTGTCACGACTTTCTCAAACTACAAGCTTCCTTCAGTACTTAACTCAAGTTTACTGCGCTTCATATATGTACACGTAGATATGTTCACAATGATCACTCTTAAGAGTCAAATAACTTAATTATTATATACTCAACAAAATATCGCGTTTCTGATTGGTCAATGATGAATGCATAAATAGGTTATAAAGTGCAATAGAGGTTATAGAGTGCAATACGGAGAAGTTGCCATGGAAACACCGGGGAAGCGCCAAATTTGAACACCAAATTATAAAAAAATGGCTGACAGCCGGTTTGCTTTGTCAAACCAAAACATCGTTGAGCAACTTAAAGAAAATGCGAAAAACAAAAACACGTTGAAAGCTACACAGACCTGGTTAAATGTCTGGCAAACATGGGCGAATCAACGAAAAGTAAACCCAGAAATGGAAGAATACGAGCACGAACAACTCGATAAAATGTTGCAAATCTTCTACACAGAAATACGCACAAAAGACGGGTGTGAGTACGAACCTGAGAGTTTAAAATCCATGCTGGCAGCCCTCGACCGCTATTTAAAAGAGCATGACTACAAGTACTCTATTATACGATACCGAGAGTTTCACCAGTCGAAGTTGGTACTCGAAGGAAAAGTGAAGTGTCTCCGTCAACAAGGAAAAGGCAAGAGACCCAACGCCGCGAACGCACTGACAGCCGAAGAAGAAAAAATGCTATGGAGTGAACAAAGTCTCGGCGACTGCAGTCCAAGAGTTCTTTCCCAGACGATGTGGTGGATCTTGACTCAACATTTTGGCCTGAGGGGAAGACAGGAACACCATTCAATGGAGGTCGAGGACTTCAGTTTTTGTGTGGACGACAGCGGCACAGAGTACGTCACATTTAAAGAAAATCCTACAAAGACGAGGCGGGGGGACTGAACACAAAACATCGTAGTGTTCTGCCAAAAATGTTCGCTACTGGCGGTCAGAGATGTCCTGTTGAGTTACTGAAGCAATACCTCAGTAGGCGTCCTCAAGAGCTGCGCGACAAAGGTCCTTTTTACCTTGCCATAATCGAAAATCCCAAAACAAATGTTTGGTACAAGAAGCAGCGGCTCGGCGTAAACAGCATCGACAATATGATGAAGAGCGTCGTGAAGAACACAGCTCTGGAAACAAGCTAGAAGAAATTGACTAACCACACTGCAAGGAAGACAGTTGTGAAGAAACTCAGAGCAGCAAGCGTCGAGAGGCAGTCGATAATCCAGGTGACCGGCCATGCAAGTGAAAAGTCTCTTAACGTCTACGATGAAGGTAGCGAGAAGGAACAGCGACAGCTTTCAAACATTATCAGCAATGCTCCACAGTCAGCAGCCTCCAGCAGTTTTCCTGGTCTACCAATGTGGTCTTCTCCTGCAACGACTTCAACGTGTGAACAGGTGAAAACAAGCGGCCATGCTTTCACTGTGAACAACTTTCACAACTGTCAAGTCACATTTAACGTGATTCAGGGGCAATGCAGTTCACCAAAGTCTACAAGATCTATTGAGATCAAACATTTGAAAACAGTTTAGCGGGCTTAAGTACTCTTGCCGCTTTTAATAACTGAAATTTAGCTTTTGAGTTCGGCTTGTAATATTTTCTGAGAAACTTTCAAGAACTTCACGCTTGATTTACCTGTCACAACATTACATTTTTGATTGGTTCAAATAAAACATGTGAGCATTTTGGAACCCATTGAAGTGTTTTTTGTAGTACGTAAGGCGTGCAGAGTAGCGCGATGGAGTAATTTTGTCGAGAATATAATAAATAAAAAATCGTGATGTTTTGAAAGTTCTCAAATTGCACTCGCCAACGGCTCGTGCAATTTTGAGAGCTTTCAAAACATCACTCGTGCCCATAAATCACGAAATGCACTCGCGTTCATACGATTTCCTATACTAATTGCAGTAGTACAATATATAAAGAACAGGATACGTGATGTGTTTTACAATGCTTAAAACGAGGGTTCAACGACCTTTCCGCGCGGGATATCCACAATAGAATTAAATCAGAATTTCTTTGTTAAAGTGAAAGCAAAATAGCCATAGATACACACGTTTCTCTAACGAAAAAATTTACTCGCACCCTGAGTATTAACTATCAAGAAATCGGTAAAGAATATATACCCTATAATTTACGTTTTCAACCCAGTTGTTAACACTAAATTACCTGCCGTACCTACAATAGGTTTTCCTTTGAAAGCTTTTTTGTTATTTGTATTTATTTATATCTTTATTTTATCTTGTTTGCACGTATTGCATGCCATTAAAAGTGATGTTATGCCTACGTGATTTTTTACGCGACCTTGTGGTAATAAAAACAAAGGCAAATAAATAGATTGAAATATCTTGATCTCCGCACAGTGTACCTACAATAGGTTTTCCTTTGAAAGCTTTTTGGTTATTTGTATCTATTTACATCTTTATTTTATCTTGTTTGCACTTATTGCATGCCATTAAAAGTGATGTTATGCTCATGTGATTTTTTACGCGACCTTGTGGTAAAAAATAAAATGGTTGAGTTGTGAAACGTTTTATACGACAAAAGCTTTTATGTGAAATCCTCACCCACGTCAAAACATTGTCGCGCTATGCAAATTACGTAGGGTAGTTCTTTCAATTAGAACCATCGAGACCTCGTTCCTGTTTGGAACTGATTTGACTTCGGAACAACGATCGTCAAAAACAAAAGAAGAGACATACGGCAAAAAGATCCAATCTTGGCCACTGGGAATACCTTACCCAACCTATGTACCAACTACAGCCGCGAACTTTTGCGTGATATGATATGCAAAGCGAGCCATAATTTGAATATAGTCTCACAACCGATTTACGGTGAACTGCGCGGGAACACATACATAAATAGTTGGCTTTATTATCAGCCCTTCTGCGGTTTCCTTCAGAATTTTCATGAAAAATTGTATTAACAGTGTAAAGAGTACAAATGTGAAAAGAATTCGTCGAAAACTAAGCTGGTTTTGATCGTGGCTGCAGCGGCGGGCTTCTCTGTTCAGGAATGAAGTTAAACAAACAGTGAAATGAAGCATTCGAGAATATAAAGTTGAGGTCAGTATATTTGCATTGTTCTTTACGCTTTTTAAGGTGAGAAGATTTCTAAGACAGAAACGTATTTTTCTGCAGCGGCAGGCTTCTCTATTCACGAATGAAATTAAACAAACAATGAAATAAAGCACTCGAGAATATAATATCCAAATTGAGGTCAGTATATTTGCCTTGTTCTTAACGCTTTTTGAGTTGCCAGGATTTCTAAAACAGAAACGTTTTTTTTCTAAAGAAAGATGTTTTCTGTCTTGTCATGAGCGTGGGACAAAGAAAAAATTCTGAGTCCCCATGATGAAACGAACCTCAGACCCTCGGATTTCACACTCCGATGCTCTACCACTGAGCCACAGAGACTGCACGAAGTTTATATGATACACGCCCTGCATACTGCTAGGATCAGCAATGTCGATGCGTAATGTTTGTAGATAGAAACAAGAGAGATGGTAAATTTTGAGCTTGGTAATGAAATTCATCCCATTCTTGAAAAAGCGATTAAGTCGTAAAATCCTATCTTGCATGGACGATGTGCCTCATTAGTTTTGGAGGATTCGATGAATCAAAGGGCCTTTGACGCAATAATCACGGACATAAGTTGATTAAATTAACAAATTTCACACCGGTGTTATGGCTTACATGAAAATAGTTTCATTAGTCTCGTGAGCTAGCACAGATAGTCAACTTGACAAAAGGGTAGAGACCTCCCATGGTAAAACAAGTCGCCTTTAAAGTGATAAAATGTCGTGTATCATGAAGATTAGTTTGAAAGAACCGAAATTTATAAATATTATAGAAAAATACAAGCAAAATCGATGTCTGAATTCCACGAAGGCGCCAAGTTATTCGGTTGCCATCTTTATGGGTGACAAAGGGCTAACGCTCGAAACATCAGCTTTGAAACTCTCGGTGGCCAATTGACATTAACAACTCAGTTCATAAAACCAAAATTAACTTGCTATATTCCCCCGCCGACGCAGCACCACAGTTTCTATAGAAACTTACCCCCTTTTGCCACTATAATAATTAGCTTGTTTGGATGATTCCCAAGGGATCATGTAGATCTGAATGCTGGCAACAGTAACACGTTATACCATTCGACATAGCGACACACGGATAATTCCAGTTTGAAAGTAGACGATCCCTGTCGCCATTTTACCAGCACTAAGTATATCATTCCCATATGTGAAAAAAATTATTACCCTAAAAGATTATTTATGATGATCTAACGACGATTTGGGCCACCAATAAAAGGGTTTCCATTAGCTAGAAGGTGAAATAGTGCAGTCGTTTATCTTCATCGTATATTAGTTCAATGGATGTTTTTTCTTCGTCAGTTCGCAAATTTCAGACACAGACATGGCAAGGAATGAATACCAAAAAATTTCAAGCGCTGACCAAAGTCCGAAACAAGGCTTCTTCTCTTATCTTCTTTTTAGCTGGATGGACAGCACCTTTAAAACTGGCAGTAAACGGGCCTTACAGGAGAGTGACTTTGTACCTCTTTCCACTGAAAACACAACTCGTGCTGCGACCGAAAAACTTCAATCAAACTGGAACAAAGAGAAAACCAAGTGCAGAGAAAACGGAAAAAAACCAAGACTTTGGAAAAGCGTTCTGAAGATGCTCTCCGTCAAGGATATTATTATCTTTTCATTGTCGGGTGCTATGTACTCAGTGTCTAAGATTTCTCTTATTCTGCTGATAACATATCTTATTTCCGCACTCCTTTCATCTCAAGCACAGAACAATCTTGCTTATCTCTCGGCTCTGGCCATGTTCATTACCAGTTTGTTTCAAGCTATGGGACATCATCACGTTTGTTATAGAGGCGAGTTGACGGGAATCAGAGTGAGTTGCGCCCTAAAAGGTCTAATTTACCATAAGGTAAGTAAATGGATAGTCTCTGAGTATCCTTATAGAAACTACCGCTAAGTTGACGCAGCCGATTGAACGCCAAAGGGAATTGCTAAGGTTAAATTAAAACAACCGGGTGAGGGCAACTTAATCTTGGCTTTGCATCAACGTGCCTTGCCTTGCTTCACATTAACATACTAAAATAGTTCCTAAATTCACGAAAAAGCGGTCCAGTCTTCAAAAAAAAAAGGCATGGTAGACTGCAGTGCTGTTTTTTAGCTTGTTGCAATTGAATTGAATGGATGGTTGGTGAGCCAATATTATGTATGTGGAAGGACATCAGCTGTAAAACCCGTCTCCACGGCGACACTCAACTACGTTAAATTTCATTCTGAAGCAAATTTGAGCGTTGATGTGAAAATCCATTTTACACAGAAAGATCAACAAAAACAACTGACAGATCGGAAAAATTTGAAGACAGACCGGAAACGTACCTTCTGATATATTACATGTCCTCAAACCAGTATTTCTCAGTGGTACTACCATTTCCTGTGTCTTTCGTCTCTCCTCTTGACGCTAGGAGGATAGGCTCCAAAATTATCGCCGACTTTAATCATACGGAAATTGAGGCTGGTTTGTCATAATATGTTTGCCCCATGGAGGGAGGAAATATTGCGCCCCTTTTCTTCCGTCCTGTACATGGTTTAATAGTGACGACAAAGACAAAGATATTTCGATAATAGGTTAACTCCCTAATATTTTTTCGTAGATGCTACTTCTGAGTAAACACGGTTTATTGAAGGCCACGACAGGTTACGTAATTGAGCTTTTATCCAATGACGTTCAGCGAATGGAAGGCGAAACTGTCAAATTTGTTTTTCTGACGGTTTCTTCAACTGTAGAGTTTTTGGCGTTGCCATTCTTACTCCAGCACCTTATTGGCTGGCAGGCACTTATGGGCTTCATTTCCCTTAGTCTTCTTATTGTATACTTTGCTGGGTTATCCTACATGAACGGTTTATTACGAGTGAAGACAGCAGAAATGTCGGGTCTACGCCTCTCTTTGATGAACCAAGTGATTTCTGGAATTCGCGCCATAAAAATGTATACATGCGAGAATGAATACAGAGCAAGGATAAAATATTCACGCAGGTAAGCAAAAGACGATCTTACCTCTCATATTTAAGTTTCCTTAGTACTTACGAGTCAGGGACGAACGTAATGTCTTGTAAAGGCATAATGAGCGCAGTGACGAAATACCATATAGAAATGATGCTCATATAATTAATATCGATTGAAAATTTTTAGATTTGCAAACAAACAGAAACCAAGAAAGGTATGCATATTTAAGATATGGTGAGTTGGTCTTGAGGTAAAACCGAGCGTTGTGATCAGTTGGTTCTTATCTGGACAGGATTTTACCGTACAGACCGTTTCTTCAGAAACGGATAAGCCTTGTATTTTGGTTCAAAAGCAAGAAAATTCGAAATTAGCAAATTCAATCTGAGAGCCGTATAATATAAAACTTATTATTAAATTTCAATATCTAATCATGCTTTGTTTTATTTCGAGAGCTGGTTAAGGGAACGAGGACTCCGAGTCCGATATTAGTGTGAACACCATTACGTGCATTTCATCGAATTAAAAGCCATTTATTGTCTGATTTGGTTTTTTAGGAATGAAATTAAAATCCTCAATAAGAAAAATGCGGTTTTGACAGCTCTTGTCGCTTTGGAAGGCTCTTCAGGACCTATAGCACTCTTGGTGTCTGTCCTGACTTTTTTATTAACAGGACATACCCTAACACCTGTGAATGTCACCATGCTACTCGCTTTCATTGGTGCTCAAAGACTAAATCCTTGCTGTTTCTTGGCCTATGGTTGGCTGCAAATATACGAAGCTTATGTATCGCTTCTTAGAATAGAAGATTTCCTCCTCTTAAAAGATTTGCCTGCAGTCTCATGTGGTCACACGTCTGACAAAAGTAAATCTGATTTGAAAGAGTTAAAAAGCGGATTGACGGATCACGAGGAAAGAGTCGAAGTCAATCACTTTGACGATGCAACGGATGAGCGGGGCATGGCAATAGATTTGTGTGTGTCGAATTTGACATGCATGCAAGTCGGTCGAGAAGAGGAATACATCTTAGAAAATATCGACCTTGGAACAGAATCAAAAAGCTTGACGGTTATTACTGGACCAGTGGGAAGTGGGAAATCTACTCTTCTCTCAGCCATCGCCGGAGAGGTACCAAAAAAAAGGGGAACACTGACTCGCCCAGAAAAACTTGCTTACGTTCCACAGATTGCATGGGTCTTCTCCGGTACAATTCGGGAAAACATCTTGTTTGGTCTGCCATACGATGAGCAGATGTATAAGAGAGTGCTCCGAGCGTGTGCACTTGATAAGGACATGCAGGAAATGCCCGATGGAGACTTAACTGTTGTTGGAGAACGCGGTGAAGTTCTTAGCGGCGGTCAGCAGGCAAGAGTAAGTTTAGCTCGCGCAGTGTACGCTGATGCAGATCTTTATTTGTTGGACGACCCATTCAGTGCTTTGGACTTTAAAGTTGGTCAACACATCTTTGAAAACTGTATTCAAGACTTCCTGGGCGACAAAACCAGGGTATTAATCTCTCATCAAGAGCAGCACATGAAAGAGGCGACTGAAGTGGTAGTCTTATACAAAGGCCGTGTTTTAGGAAGGGGAACTTTTACGGATCTTCAAGGGGAAGGTTTTCTTAGTACGACTGTTAATCCACTGCATCAGAAAGCTCCAAAAGATTCGACATTCGACAAGAAATATAATGAACAAGAAGAGAAGTTCATCGATATTAGCGACGAAAAAGATCCACCATCCACTGGAGAGAAGGGCCTGACAATATCGGATGAGGATCGTACTATCGGAAGGGTGTCACCGAAGCTTTACTGGGACTACTTCAGAAGTGGAACTCACTCTATGGGAATCCTTTCCATGATGTTTTTGTTCCCCATTGCGCAAGGTAAGCCTTTCTTATCTGATCTGATGGCCGACTGTGTTTCATGGAAAATGCAAAAGAACTCAACTTTAGACAAGAGACCTGCTATAACCTAATTGCTGTTTATTATCTTGCGGCGTTCGGAATCGAGATCATCTAGAAGTAGAGTGATTTTACATGTGAAGAGATTTCGTCATGTTGGTCGATGATTTTACATGTGAAGAGATTTCGTCATGTTGGTCGATGATTTCACATGTGAAGAGATTTCGTCATGTTGGTCGATGATTTCACATGTGAAGAGATTTCGTCATGTCGGTCGATAAACAATATTTTTCTTTAATAACTTATCATTATCTTCATCAATTATTATTTTCTGTTTTGTGTACGGAACGATGTAAATGTGTAAGTTTTCATGCCTTGCTGTCAATGACAGTACTTTACTCTAAAAGGCTATCCATGTAGTTTTGGAAGCGATAGTAGATTCTTTCGTGATATCAACAGCTGAAGACAATTAATAAAAATTGAACCACGATCTCAATCAGTCCTACATAAAGATCCCTTATACATGAAGATTTGAATTTTTTATAGCTTTTTTCTGGCTGAGGTAGTAGAATATGAGGGTGCACTTTGTTCTTCACGTCAAGGACAACAGAAGAGCGTGAAATCATTCATTTTAGTGGCAAATTTCTGAAACCGTGAACCTAGGTTGACAGTAGATCGAGAGAAAATGAGTTACCCTTTCTTAACTCGTAAATCGATAAGAGTTTTTGTTTTGAACTGATGTGCCAATGTATTTCAAGTTGGAGGTGAATGTTCAACCCTAGGTCGCTGTCGATGGCCGGGGCTGTGAAAGTTGTTGTCGTAAGTGAAAACTAATACACTCTACTTGCAGACGTGGAATTTAGAAAGACTATCCATCCAGTTATTGCTAAGTTCTACTTACATATAGTCACCCCTGTAGCATTAGACCTTGTGGAAACTTAATTGGTTTGTTTTAATTTCAGCAATAATTGTCGCTCCCAATGTTTGGCTCTCGCTTATGACGAAGAAACTTCCAGAAGATCAGAGAAACAAGATAAACATTATCATCTACACTTGTCTTGTCAGTGGGTGCGTTATGCTCGCCTTCGTTCGAGCATATGCTTTCCTATGGATTTCTCTGAAATGTTCTGAAAGTCTCCATGACTTGATGGTAGAAGCTCTTCTGCGATCACCAGTGTTGTTTTTTGATTCAAATCCAGTAGGAAGAATACTCAATCGGTTCTCGAAAGACATTGGCTGCATGGACGAGCTTTTGCCCAAAGAGTTTCTGTTGTCAATTCAGTCATCATTATTGGCTATTTGTACGATACTTATACCAACTGTTGCAAATCCTTGGCTCCTGTTCGTCATTATTCCGTTGATGACTTTTGTGGCGTTCGTCTCCAAGTATTACTCGAAAACGTCCCGAGAGTTAAAAAGGTTGGAATCAATCAGCCGCAGCCCTGTTTTCTCCCACATATCGGAGACTTTGAATGGATTGGATACAATTCGGACAAGAAATAGGCAGAGAGACTTCGTCCATGAGTTATACAGGTACGTTAGCGGTTCTTTTTGTAGAAGTGACGCCTTGTTAAAAAAAGGAATTTCTGCTTTGCACCTTCAAACAAACAAGTTGCGGAAACACGCGGAACAATTACCAATTTCTTTTTCCTAGATACCAAGATACCCATAATCAGATATCTATCATGGTGATGGCCAGTGCCAGATGGCTCGGAGTGCGCCTGGACGTTGTTGCTTCCCTGATAGTTGGTTCAGTTGCTGCAGCAACAGCGTTTGTGGCCCAAGATGCCGGTAAGTATTAAAGGAGGGAATGTTTTCGGTTCACTTTCAACAAACATAAAAAGTCATTAACTTTAAGTTAGAGAAATATCTGATTTCTTAATGAGAAGTTGACTTTTAGCATCATCATTGTCAGCATTCATTATCGTCGTCATTGCCGTTGCAGTCACCGTTGTTGTTGTCTTCGTCGTCCTTGTTATCATTAGTTTAGGAAGTTTAAGAAACTATGACGAAAAGAACGACGTTAAGACCAGTAAGCGCAGAGAACGAGAGACGGAAACAAGGACGTTTTGGGCGGCAAAAGGAAACTAAAGCGATGCTGTTATTTAAAGACGACGGCGTTTGAAATTTCGGTTAACTTCGCGTCGTATAGAGATATAACATCCTTCGGGCGCATTGAAAACTTTGCTTTTCTTAGTTATTTCATTTTTAAGTATTTCTTCTAAAAAATCAAGCTGTGAAATCTTAACATCGATACCACTGTCTCTTTCTTCTTACAGTCGAACCTGTATTAAGCGGCACCGTAATTAGCGGGCACTATGTATTAAGCGGTCAGTTGTCTAACTTCCGAAATTTTTACCCCTTATTTACACAGTTTTTTAAAACGGAACCACTCAAGAAAAACTGAGAATAATCCTTATCGTAATATTTATCGATATTTATCTCCCGTAATTAATGTTAATTGTTTTATTGAGCAAATTTTTGTATATTAAGCGGTCAATTATGGCCCATGATGACCTTTTCTATCGATTCTTTATAATACTCTATTCTGCTGTATAAAGCGGTCAACCTGCACTAAGCTGTTACCAAGCCATTTCTCGTGGGTGACCGCTGAATACAGATTTGACTGTTTTTCGATTTTAATCCTGAATTTGTTTTGTTAAAAGAATGTATCGGTCGTGGACTGACTTTCCTGTGACTAGGAACTTTCTCGGTGGTATGGCATTAACATTATTTGCCAGTGCTTCTCGTTCTAGATCTGATTCTAGATTTGTAACGTTCAATTGCAAGAACATCTAGGACGTAATTCAGTATATCAAGGTCAGTGTTCCATTGTTCCGAATTTTTTTTAATCTCGGTACCTATATTAACTGATGCAACTTGAACGTCGTTATAACATTTAAAATACCAAACTTTAGGTAAATTGTGTGACAACGAGGTAAATTATGTGTTGTACGTTATTCTGCACCATTTTTGCCAGATTTTCAAGGTGGATAAACAAGTAAACAAACTATAATACATAGATTTAGCCAAGCCTAAAAGCGGAGGTTGAAAAGTTCTAGATGGTATTTCTTCAAGTTTGCCATTAATTGAATTTACTGAAAGGTGGAGTTGTTGCAACATGTTAACATGAAATGCAACAATAAATTTTATTGATATGTAAAAGGTATTCATTTGACTATAGTTTACACGTTGGTTAGTGAGGTAAAATTGAGTCAAACATTCATACGACGACAGGTTCAAGAAATTTTCATAGTAACTTTTTAAGGTTAGTCTTAACAATCACCTTCATGAGCAAATTAGACCAGGTTTGTACTGATGATGCCCAAAAGAACTATCTGTGGTAAGAGGGCAGGCTCTTTTTCATTTTAAGAAATACTGAGGTTATCATCTCCCCACAAGTTCAGTGCAAAGTGAGAGTGAATAAGACTGATATTGACTATGTTGGAAAAATATTCAGAGGAGGATAAAAAGTAAGATATGGTCTGCACAACTCTCTTATTTTAACTTTTTAACCTTAAAAGCCAAGGCATTTATATTCTTGCGTTGTGCCCTATGTGGACGCCAATTTATTCAACTTTCATGCTTCAAAATACAAAAAAAGGTTCTCTTCATCTATGAGCCCTAAACATTATAGGGGAGGAAGCAGGTCATAGTAAAAACCTAAATTAAAATAGGAGGGCCCCCATTAATTTCAGTCCTAATTTAAGGAGGATCCTTGCTTTTCCAGATTTCCATCCTTTAAAACTCGCATATCTTGTGACCAATTCCTTAGATCAATGTTTAGTTTGGGCATAAGTATCGGTAAGAAACACTATGCATTAATGAATGCTTGAGCAAGAGTGTTTAATGCCATCTAAATAATAATATTACATGTTACAATGTAGTAACTTACACAGCAAATTTATATGATCACACAATTCCAAACGAAAGAAGTCAGGTTCTTGACTGACATGCCTTTAAGGGCCCAAGGTGGGAATAGATATGGTAAACAGTTACAATTAATACAAAGTTGAAAGTTTGAAAGCTAAAAGATATACATTACAATTATCAGACCCTATGCATCCTGGCAAAAAAAAGGGTCAACTGCCACCATAACTTCTCCCAAACATCCATGCTTACAGGAAATCATTAATTTTTTTCACTAGGTGGTACTGTACTTACAATACTTCTATCAACACAAATGTGCTTTTTTAAAGTTATCTCATACCATATGACTGTACAGGTCATGTGGAAGGTTCCTGCATGGGGAATGACATTTCAATTACCTCAGCAAACTTTAATTATCAGAATTGTAAGTCAAGCTGTATTTACTAAGTGCTCAAGTTTCCAAATCAGTCACCTAATTGTTACTTTGGAGTTCACTCCTTTTAGAGGCTCTCTTCAGCTTGATCATCCTGTTACACGCGAAAACATCAAATATTACTAACATATTAAAATAATTGTTTAGTCACGGTACTTTTCAGCGCTATTTTTCATGCTTTCTACTCGATTCGTTCGAACTTCAGGAAATGGTTTGTCTCACAAAACATGGAGCCACTTTCTCTTCGCTCAACATCTCGAGGCACACTTACTGCTCGGGTTATGATGAACATCCTTGCGATGCGATAATTTTTTCCTAATGCTGGAAACTGAAGAATCAATCTCTGAAATTGCTGGTCATCACATTTTGCAAGAAGCGTCCGAGCTGTGATCGTGTAATTAAACGGGGTTCTGGCAATTAGAGCTCACAAGCACGCTGGTATGCATATGGTTAACGTAAATAATTTTTGTTTACAGTTTTCAAATTCAAGAGCCGTTTTTGAGAGTCTGTTTCTGTAACCTTCCTGAATGTTTTCTGTTAAATTCATTGAGGTACAATTTCGGAATTTCATAATTGATTATAAACAATAAATTCGTATTAGCACCATAATTTAGGGAAGTTTTCATGACACATTATTGCTTTACAATTTGTGAACCATTTCTGAAACCTGCTTGGACATTTTCTTTTGAATCAATTGAATCACACTCTCGAAATTTCATCAATAATTAAGAACGATAAATCCGTATATGTAGCAACTATGTGGCAGACAGTAAGGAGAATTGTTAATAAGGTCTGGGAAGTTAAAGGGTGATTTGTGCTCCTGAAATGGTGAATGGTATTGAAGAAAAAGTAAAACAAGTTCTTGAAACATTCAATGTTAAATAAAACTTTGTCATGAATGTTAACCCTTAAACTCCCATGAGTGACCAAGACATAATTTTCCCCACAATGTCAATACAATATCAACCAGATAGGCAATAAGAATAAGGACAAATATCAATTTGGGGATAATTAGTTGATCCAATACTTAATTCTCTGAACTAACATTGTAAGAATTGTATGGTTGATAAAGGGTTATTAATTGGGATGGGAACCAAAACATCTGTTAAGCTATAATTATAACAAATAACTTTCCATGTAAACAAACCACAATGAAGCATGATATGAATCAATTTAATCTCATCCAGTTTGAATATAGAATCCCAATCTAATTAACTTACAAAAGGAATAGGAAAAAGCTCAATGTGTTTTTCCTGCTTCTGTTATTCTAAATATCACAAATCAATCATACCACCACTTCAGTGTGATTTATTTTTGATGATGTCAACTGTTTCTTATGGACATCTATTCTTAGTATCTATCTTTTTATCAGCTGACATCTGAGAAGAATCAAGTCAACACTGGTAATTTGACACATTTCAGGCAAACCCTATGATTGGTTGAATTTTATTTGATTAAAAACATGAAGGGCAATTGGGGAAATTAGCTAGCACAATCCAAGTTTCTCTTTTTTAAGTATTCTGTGATGTTTCTTCTATCAAATGGTAAAGTTTACAGTTTCCCTCATTTTACTGTCTTCTGTTCATTTGTTTGTTCCTAACAACCTCAATTATTATTGCCAACAAATACGAGGGCTAATAAAACGTGTACAGCTGTTAACACTTGAATCCCTGAGAGAGACTAGCACCTAATTTCTCTGTTATTTAATTTAACCCTTAAACTCACCTAATTTCTCTGTTATTATTTATTTTTAAGTATTCTGTGATGTTTCTTCTATCAAATGGTAAAGTTTACAGTTTCCCTCATTTTACTGTCTTCTGTTCATTTGTTTGTTCCTAACAACCTCAATTATTATTGCCAACAAATACGAGGGCTAATAAAACGTGTACAGCTGTTAACACTTGAATCCCTGAGAGAGACTAGCACCTAATTTCTCCATGAACATAAAACATAAGCTACCAGCAACAGGTTTTTCCATTGTTTCATAACATCAGATTCTCGTCACATTTTTTTGTTTTTTTTTATGAAAACATAAGAAAATTTTAATCATTATAATATAATGAAATCCCTCTTTTTAACCCTTTTAGTCCCATTAGTGACCAAGACAGCATTTCTCCTTACATTATCAGTATGACATCAAGCAGACAAGAAATAAGAATAAAAACAAAATAAAAATTAAGGGATTTTTGGTTGATCTAATTCCAAATTCTTCAACCAAACATCACAAATTGTATGGCAGTCAGTGAGGAGAATTACTCATGAAATCTTGAGAGTTAAAGGTTAAGAGACATATGGTAATCATTTGTACCCGAAAGAGAGTGAATAAATGTAACATACTCTAGGAAAGTGTTCTTTAATACAATGAAGTTTCAAACTCTTTGAAATTAAGTTGACTTCGTGATTCAGATTTTGGTTAAAAACATGTAATATCTCTTTACATGGATGAAAAGAGAATGCCATTTATGAATTTTAAAATAGTAAATGTCAAAAACTTAAAGATGGAATTGAAAAAAAACTGCTAAAATATGGTGTATCTATTCACTGATAATTAAATCATTAGCTGGCACAAGGAGATATAAAAGAGGCTTTGTGAAAAAACTAGGGCAATAAAATTAAAGATTCAGGAGAAGCATATGACATCAAGTAGTTTACTGATGTTTTCACCTGAATTCAATCTGGAAAGAGAGCTCTGCAACACTTCTGTTTTATCTTCTCACACTTCAATTAAAACATGAAATTTAATTATTTGCAGGTATGTTAGGGAGGAAATTGAATAGATATATGTTACATAAAAAGGTAACTCTTACAACAAAAATAAAGCAGAAACATTTTACCGACATGTTTATGATTCTGAATACAGCTACAATAAGTATTTTTAAGCAACCATCTACATATGTAAACCGGGTACAATAAACGGTCCTAAAAGCAATTTTATTCTAACCTTCCTCCTTGAAGGGTGCCTTGTGAATTAAGTATATCAAGTTAAGTACCTCCAGAGTCATAAGTCGGACTTTTGAGGCTACAAAATAATAAAATAATCAACGAGTTATCGCAGGCCAATCTATTCAAAGTCAATTAAGTATAGTTTCCTAAAATCATACGGAAAGTTTAAGATGTGCTTCACTTGTGCTACATATACCCTATACCCTAGAAAGAATTAGATACTTGCGCTCGCCGTTTGCTATCATTGAAAACTTCTTAGGTAAAACAAATTAAAATCCGTAAGATAACTTCTTTCCCCTTAACACAACGAGCATCTCTCTTCCAGTAGTCGTTCTTCCAGTCTCTAGTGATTGCTTAAGCTTTGCAGGTATTGCTGTCGATTTTCCAACTGCCGTCTTTATTATGAAGATAATGAAGATGAGAATGGTTGTATAGTTATTAGTATTTCATAGAAGGGACAGTTTTATTCTCCTGTGGGAAAATACAGAATCACATATACATATGTTATTCGCCATTCGGGAGGTCCGTATTAGGAAAGAAGGTTCTCAACACAGAAGGCAAATGTTTTCCTAATACGCACCGACCTGAACTGGTCACAATCTGGTACTGGTTTGGCAAACAAACTCAAGTTCAATGACTGTCTTGACAATTTTTTCTTAAAAAACATTAAATGATCCAACGGAAAGCATTATTCACTTCCATCGACGATTAGTGTACAAAGAATACCTATGCTCAATCAGTAAATGGCGATGAAAGTAATTATAAGTAATTCAGATGCATGTTTTAAAGTTGTGGGAGTTTGTTTGTTTGTTTGTTTGTCTGTTTACTGCAATGGCGTGTATAAATTGTCTTTTTCCACCAAAAAACTGAAGGCAAATGAGAAACCTTTGCTAGACCCAAGAGGAATTTAATGCAGCTCAATGCAATTTACTGAACAAATGGCCAAATTGAACAGACTTACAAAGACTTACCAAATCGTATTTGTAGTAGGATTGAAAATTCACTCACCGTTTTACAACGAAAAAATTGTTTGAGAGAATTCAGAAAGGAATGAAAGTTTCGTCGATTACTGATTCAATTGTAAAAAGGTATCTCGCAGTTTAACTTTCCGAGTTACTTTTTGTCAAAGATTAAAGTTCATTAAAAGCTGTTTTTTAGGCCGCGTGTCCATTTAATGACACATTTGCTACCGCAAATTAATTTCGAAAACAATTTTTTGCCTGCAACCAAAGGTGATTTGAGAGGTACAAAAGAGAGGATTAATAAGTTATTAATCGGCTTGATTTGCTTAACAATACTTTGCTTGAAAATATTGCGCAGCCGGCAAAACAAAATATATTTATGAAAAAACGGCCAAGAAGCTAGGAATTTTCTCAGCGACTCACGAAAGCGTTACTGTGCCTCTGGGCAGAGATAGGAAATCCGGACCGCACCAGGAACCCATCAGATTGCAGGATACGTTACCGTGCCCTAAGAGAGAAAATTCAAGGGTTTACAACACGGGGCGTAATATTTTTACCAAAAGGAAGTGGCGCCCCCCCCCCCCCCCCCACCCCCCACTATCCTAATCCCCAATTTTACTTTTTACTCCCATATTGTCCGTGTATGGAAGGTTTGTAGAAAATATAAACTTTCAAAACTACATTGTAATTCCGTTCCTAATAAAAATTGTACTCTGTGACACGGTTCATTATAAGCAGTCAATGTTTACATTTTCAATTTTCCTCCATTTTCAGCAATTGCCTCTCTTGCACTTGTTTACGTCGTCCAAATGACAGACACAACTCAAACGTCAGTGAGAAGAAGCGTGAATGTTGATAATCTCATGACGTCAGTGGAACGAGTTATGACGTACACTAAGCTTGACTCTGAGCCTGGATACAAAGTAGAAAAACGTCCCCCAGAACACTGGCCACGCGAAGGGAAAATCACCTTTAAAGATGTATCACTGACATATTACCCGGGAGGACCTCAAGTACTAAAGAAAATTAACCTTGAAATCAAAGGCGGAACGAAGATCGGTATTGCAGGCCGTACAGGCGCAGGAAAGACTTCTGTTTTGGCAGCTCTACTGCGCATGCCAGATGCTGATGGACAGATAATGGTTGACGATATTCCCATAATGGATATTAACATTCAAGAAGCTCGACGATGCATATCGGTTCTTGGACAAAGTCCAGTCCTATTCAGTGGAACGCTGAGAAAAAATCTCGATCTTTTGGAGCAGTTTCAAGACAAGGATTTATGGCAAGCATTGAGAGACACTCAACTGAAAGACGTAGTTGAGAGCCTGGAAGGACAGTTGGATTACAAGCTTTCCGAACATGGCGCAGATATCAGCGTAGGAGAAAGGCAGTTGATTTGTTTGGCTCGTGTCTTGTTACACCAAAGCAAGATCATCATCTTGGATGAACCCACTGCACACGTAGATCCAGAAACAGAGCACAAAATGTGGAGGGTGGTACGCGAGAAACTGAAGGACTGTACTGTAATTACCATAGCTCACCGCCTGAGCTCAATTAAAGATTGTGATATGATTTTGGTTTTAGAAAATGGAGAAATACGCGAATTTGGCAAGTTTGATTTATTAGTGAGGAGAGAGGGAGGTATATTGAGTGAAATGGCTCGTGTTTCAGGTATCTAAAATGTGCATGAAAGAAAGTCACCGAAAACCTTGCCTTATCTTATTGTTCTTGGTAAAAGATAGCAACAAAATTAACCAAATGTGACAGAAAGTTCATCCCGCTCCCTTTTGAGCTGAGGTTTTTCAAATTGGCATTGCAATGTGTTTTATTCTACATTTTTCGACATTTTAGCTCTTTTTCCGTTTTAGAATGATTTAGGTAACAAAAGCTTCTAATGAATTATTGTCTTGACGTCATGGCTCTCTTTGGGAGCACAGTAACGCAGAAGGAGCACCAAAAAACCTTAAAGAAAACACAATCGAATGGGCAAAGAAATCGGTAATCTTCTAATATTTTGTACCTAAATGGTTGTATGGTTTTTAGAGATTTAAATAAGTAGATGTACTTGTCTGCTTGATTTTTAAACTAACAGGGATAAAAAATCTTGGCATCGTCTGCGTCATTTTGAGGATTTTGTTAGCTTCAGAAAGCTTTGAGCTGAGTACACCATCATGCACCTGTAGCGGTGAAAAAGTACATTATTTCCTCTTTAAGCACAAAACAAGAAGGAATTCAATTTTAATTATCTGCGCCCTTGTTAAAGCATGATCGTGGCCCTCAACTTTTGACCGTTTTATTGAAATTATGAAGGCGTAATAGTAACTTACCTGAGCTTGTGGGAACAGTTGCATGAGCATCCTAATAATATCTGCTCACACATCAGCGCTTTCTCCGCGAACATTCTTCATTTCTTGGAATGGATGAAAGCATATTCTGCTTTATCCCTTTCTTGCCCGTGTTTGGTTTTTTCTGATACATTTGCTTGGAATTTTTTTTCTTTCGTACGTTGCCCTTTCCTGGTCTGCTTACTATCAATCAGTATCATTGATATATTCACTGAGCCGGCCAAATAGATTTGAGGCCATGTCTAACTTAAAAGCAAAGGAAGGAAGGAGCCTTATTCCTTATTCTAGACAAAAATTGCGTTGAACGGAGAGAAAGTGCTGTACCCATGCCTATCAGTGTGTTACAAATAACTTCCGAAAATTACGAAAGGTTAACGCTCAAAAAGTCTGCTTTAAAACTCTTCGAAGGACAACATCAGTTCCTTTAGTTTGGCCATGAAAAAACATTTCCTAGCATAGTATTGTGAATAGAAAAATATAAGTATGTGGTTTGAATTAATTTTGTATATATGCAATTTTAGCTGTAGATGATAGATGTTTGGCAATTGATATTCATACTTTGTAGTATTCTTAATTATTTCATGATTACTCGGTAGATATGTAGCATAAAGGGCTTCTGGTTTATCAGTCATACTGACATGTGTTACCCTCTCTTAATAAAGTTTTTACTTACTTATTTACTCACTTATTTACTTACTTACCCAACGGTGGCCAATTTACGTTATCAACTCTGTTGTGAATACCAGATTACGTACTAACTTTCTATGAGTTGGCGTCGTATTACGGAAAAAAATCGAGACGGTAGTTGACAGAATCTTTGATCGGGAATCAAGAGGTTCTAATTTTTCCAATATTGAGTGATAGGTGCCGACATTTTCCGTGGCAGTACCTACGATCTTCAAAGCATACATTTGTTTACTATAGGATCGCTGCTGCTCAATGATGGTGGCGGTGTTTGATGTCAAGACCTAGACTTTTAGGCAACTAATTATATGGGCAAACATGGCAGGATGTCGAAAACAAATTTCTGCTCGATAACTACGAAGGGTCAAAGAGGAATGTGAATATATTTACTCTTCCTCATTTTTAAAAGCCCCAAAATTTCTTTCTTATATTTTGTCTTTTTTATGTGAATGAGTTTCCCTAGCTAAGAACTTTGTTTTAATAAACAAGGTGGTAAACATAACTTAACTTACCTTTCAAAAAACCGCACAGAATGGCTGCTGATTACACTTGTGGTTCAACAACATTTAAGACATCTAGCTGTCGTCTTTCACATCGTTCACTTTACTGCTATTGGAGAACAGCAGCAACCGGTTAGACATCAGTTATCAGCATGCTTGTAAGTTTTGACTGATTTGAAAATACCTTTTGATCTTTCGTTCTCACTGGAAAAGGAGTACATGTATACACAGGTATATTTCAGGATGTTACATTTTTGATAAAAGTGCTGGATTTCCAGAATTTCCTTTTGCCTGTGAGTGCATCTATTCTCAGAAGGTTCGACCGACGCATGCACACAAATTTGCTGGATGCAGATTACAATATATATTATATATATATATATAGAAAACACGGACGAGTAGTTAATGAAAATAATTCTCCCAGCCCTTACCTTAGCGGAAGGCGGAAGCTTAGCCGTGATACCTTAACAAAAGAGATAATTTCATACTCAATGCTTTAACATCCCTCTATGATGGCAATTATATATTGCTTTGTGGTTTACAGCCAGTAACGCGCTTTGCGATAGTCAGTAAGTCCGTGACTTTTCGGAAGCTCTCGGAGCAATCTCACTATGGGAAATCGAAAATACCTCGGGATTTACTTTAGTCCTCTCAATCGAACTTTACCTTAAAACTTTCTTTAGAGTTTATACTAAACATACTTATGAATCGCTTTGATTGTTTAAGATCTGATGTGGAATGCAAGCCGTAAGAACAGTTAAAGTCCATTGGCTGATTGATTTAATTCAATTATCTTATGTCATCTTTAGGTGCTAAATCAATAACGTTTCACAAGTCAACTTCGAGCCGAGTCAAGTCCGAGTCAACTTAAATTTTTTCCCTCTTTCTAAAATAACACCGTAAGACAATACAATATGATTGTACCCGCCGAAAATCAAAACAAAACAAACCAACCTGTCCATTTAACTAAGTTGTTTACCTTTTACTTCAGTTGAAACAGACATTTTGACCACAGAAAAAAATTCCCGCGTTCTAAATTGTTGTTAAGCACTTTTAGACCTCCCTCCAAATTACAGATTTGTTGCCAAGTTTACTAAACGTTTCAAAGGTTCTTAGTGTCCGCAAGACATGACAAAACCTCGGTGATAACCACAACCGATTCTCTAACTACGAGAAAACTGACTCATATAAGCCACATCGCATATCCTACTTTACGTATTCTACACATTGAAGAGTGTGAGGGGGGGGGGGGGGGAACTCGTAGATACTTTGGAACGTTTACTTCTTTGAACGCAGCAAAGAATCAGTGTAGAATAAACCCTCGCAAAAGCCGTGAAAACCTTTTAAGCTTGAAGCTAGGTGTTCTTGTATCCCTGATACATCACTTTTTCAATAAGAGCTACGAAGATGTTTCTTCCTTCAATGTTTTGGCCTACACTAAATTTCGTGACGCCTTGACGTGACGATCTTATTTCTATAGGCGTCTTTCCGGATTCAAAGCTTTAGAGAGAATAAGTATTTTGGCCAAAGATAAAACCTTCTCCCTTCGAAGGAGCTTCTCCATTTAAAGAGTTAGAAAGTTATGGCGACCTCAAACATTACATGATCCGCTCAAATATGTCTCAGGTTAATCAGAAGATTTAATGTTTATTTTTTATGCCCGAGTGATTCAAAATAAGTCCTGGCCACTTGAATTGGACTTTTGAGGGAAGTATGACTTGCTTGAGCGGAATAATCACTCTTACTTTCTTTTTTTTTCTTAGCGGTAGGCGGTGAAAGTACAGTTAGTATCAATCAATATCCAAACGCATTTAATAAACAGCTCAAGGTTCGTGGCTACTACACACAATTTCCTGGAAGGAAAAGTTTAAAAGCCTGCTCAACCAATTATGGTCCAACAGAAAACGGCTATGAGATTTTCATTGCTAATTTCCGTTTGGCCATTCCCTTCAAGTACAAAGAGGAGGTGGAAACAAACCATATTTCAATGCACAAATACCTATTGGATGAGTCTGCAGGTAAATAAGTTGAGGTAAATAACGTGACCGTGTTCACCAAAGGTGTTTTTGATGTGAGCCTGGTTCCGGAAGGTCCCATCTACGCCAGCCTACCGGGATTTCTTTATGGAGAAGAGTCACTTTACAAGGATCTGAGCCTTGATACACCTGACGCACAAAAATACGCGTCTCTGGTGAGCTGAAATAGAGTAGTTAAATCATTTGATTGGGGATATTCCTAAAACTACATAATTAAGGAAATAGAACGTTTAGAGGGGAAATTCATATTTGTTATCATATGACTTGTGCAACCCTGCGCGCCACTTTATCGAGAAAGATTGGACAAAAATCTACATCGGGGCCTTACGCCGTGACGTGAGCAGGAAGAAAAAAGTAAGAGCGGCGGTTATACAATACAGTGGTTATTAACTCAGTCAGGTCGTGCCAAACGAGGAAATATTTGGTCCTCGGTCCTGAGGCGCTAACTGCACCGCGCCTGGACTTGCGTCATGACCTCGAGCAAAATAATTAAATTATAATCACTGTTCATTCGGCTAGATATTCGCGACTAAACAGTGGCCGTATCAGAGGCTTCCACTGCATAAAGTATCGACTGTTGTTATCCTCTTAGTGTATATGCCGTTCCTGGGTGTTCCTTCCAAGAAGGAAGTAAGTCCTTCTTATCTTTATACCCGGAAACCAAGACATTTCGTGCGTTTACTTTATTTGATATATAATTAACTTAAGAGATTAAACCCAACGATTGGCCAAACACGTATTCCAAAATTTATCACCTGAAGTTGCTAGCAAGCTTGTGGTATCTAGTCTTCCAGGCGTAATATTACATGTATTTCGAGTGCTGCTTGAATGTTTGATAGAGAACGAGCAGACGCTGCATGGGAAGTACAAGTGAGTGAAATGCGCAAACAAGGATTGGTTATTTCTTTATCCGCCCGCGATCTGTGGAATCGCAATTGCTTTAAAATTAGATGAGGATGGACTGCCCTAGAAATGGGTCGCTGGGCTTGATCAATTCTTGTAGCTTACAAGTCCAACCATTACTTAGCCTACGGAGCAAAAGTTGCAACGCAAAAGCCGCATCGCAAAAGTCCATTTAGCAGCTTTAAGTCCAATTATCTTGAAAACAAACCTCAAAAATGTGGAAAAGAGTTTAAATACCTTCAATCACTTTTCCATTGTCTCTTCCTTGTCTGCTAATCACATCGCCATCTAATAAGACTGCTCTCTGCATGAGTTTGCATCTTATCCCAACCGCAATATTACTGTTTCTGTTCTTGTACATTTGATTTACGATCATACATGTCGATTGGGGAGAAGACCTTTCAGCGCACAGGGTTCACTTCTTCAAAAAACGGTCAGAGCCATTCAGGATTAAGATTTAAATTTGGTTCCGATTAGAGTCCAGGGTAACATCTTTTATAGTTTATAACTGAACGATAGAAAGAAGACAAATACAAAAAGTAAGAATGGCTGCAGAACTATAAAGAAATTAATAAACATGTGCACTAACCTTGGTCAGCTGTTTTAAACAACCTGTCCTAAATTTCTATTCCGACGAGGAAAATGTTTTCTTTGTCTCAGGTAAGCGTCGAGCCGATATGTGGGATTGCTACGAAACTTAAACTTCGTTATCAGCTAAACGGAATAATTTCAAGACATTCGTTGGCTCCTGGCACAAATGTGAGTTTTGTCCACAAGGTAATACCGATGTCGTGAACGGAAATAGGAACAACCATCGGCGCAGAGAAGGCCAAGAAATTAACTTCAAAGGTGAATGTACAAATTTTTATCTTCTATTGCTGAAGTATAAGATCTTCAAAGACAAAATACCCTTTGTCAAGGCAGCGAGGGGATAAGTTTCTTTAGAAACTTACCCCCTTTATTCATAGTCAATATAATTTCATGTCATAATCATTATTTGAGTCGAGCTTAACTTCAATCCCAGGGGATCCGACGGACCCTTTTATACCTTTTATTTTATCAATAGAATAATTCCATAAAAGTTTTGTTTGATTTTTTTCATAGGTCTATCAACGTGTAGAAATGAAAAAGGTTAGTATGTTGTTTTATCATATTTACTTTAAGTCGTACTCAACTCTCTTGAAATCATATTTCTTTCATTACTTCTGGGATAAGCCATAAAACTGCATAATGAGAACGGTTGAGAACATGACACTTAATATGCAAGATGATCGTCTCACGGCCGAAGCTTGAGCCGCCTGTGGAGAGTCAAAAGTAGAGATCTCAGGGGTTCATCTCAACGTCAAAGCTAAAACCCAAACAACTATGAACTATCAATTCGAAAGTTAATCAAACTCGGTCTCTCCGTCAAAAGGAAATGCTCTTAGTCTTCGTTGATCACCAAATCGTAGCTATTCACTACCCGTCGTAGAAATATATCACTTTGTACCTATGTAAACGGAAGATATGAAAGTACCTGTATTTCTCAAGCTCATTACATCACGTGTTATATCATGCGTACGGATCTGCATACTCTAGTCACTCTACGCTCTTCTTGAAGCTTCCTGTGCCTAAAACTTGTGACAAAATGGGGTTCGATTCATGTTAATTCAGCATAAAAAAGCACTAATTGATATTCTAGGGACAATTTAAACGTTTGTTGATCGCCTACCGCTTCAAACTGGGATTCTTTAAATGATGATCTACAATAACAGTCCGCTCAGTTCCGTGCGGGTCGTCTGATAAAACAACACGTTGCACTAATTTGATTTTTTTCATTTCCGCGATCATCGCAGAAATCTATCCCATTCTTGAAAAGGGCTGCTGATATACACAAGGGTGAAATACAACGAAATTAAGTCGTAAAATCCTATTGTACATGGACAATATGCTTCATTAGTTTTGGAGGATTCGGTGAATTAAAGGGCCTTTGACGCAATAATCACAGACATAAGTTGATTAAATTAACAAATTTCGCACGGGTGTACTGGGCTCACATGAAAATAGTTTCATTACAGTCTCGTGAGCTAGCACTGATGGTCAACCTGATAAAAGGGTAGAGACCTCCCATGGTAAAACAAATCACCTGTAAAGTGATAAAATGTTGTGTATCATGAAGATTAGTTTGAAGGAACCGAAATTTATAAATATTATAAACAAACACAAGTAAAGGCGCCATTTTGGCTCGTTTAAAGTTATTCGGTTGCCATCTTTATCGGTGACAAAGGGCTAACGCTCAAAACATCAGCTTTGAAACTCTCGGTGGCCAATTTACATTATCAACTCAGTTGATAAAACCAAAATTATCCTGCTTTATTCCCCCGCCGACGCAGCACCACAGTTTCTATAGAAACTTACCCCCTTGTGTCATTATGATAATTAGCTTGTTTAGGTGATTCCCGAGGGACCATGCAGATCTGAATGCTGGCAACCCTAACACGTCATACCATTCAACATAGCGACACACTAATAATTCCAGTTTGAAGGTAGACGATCCATGTCGTGATTTTACCAGCACTAAGTACATCATTCCCATTTGTGAAAAAAATTATTACCTAGAAGATTATTTATGATGATCTAACGACGATTTGGGCTAACGCTCGAGACGTCAGCTTTTTTACTCTTTATGGTGGCCAATTTAAGTTTTCAACTCAGCTGTTAACACTAAATTAACCGCTTTACTCTCCCACCGACACAGCACCACAGTTTCTTTAGAAACTTACCCCCTTTATAGAGGATGACATAGTGCAATCGTTTACCTTCATCTTATATTAGTTCAATGGAAGTTTTTTCTTCGCCAGTTTGCAAATTTCCCACACAGACATGGCAAGGAATAAGTACCAGAAAATTTCAAGCGCTGACCAAAGTCCGAAACAAGGCTTCTTGTCTTATCTTCTTTTTAGCTGGATGGACAGCACCTTTAAAACTGGCAGTAAACGGGCCTTACGGGAGAGTGACTTTGTACCTCATTCCACTGAAAACACAACTTGTGCTGCGACCGAAAAACTTCAATCAAACTGGAACAAAGAGAAAACCAAGTGCATAGAAAAAGGAGAGAAGCCAAGACTTTGGAAAAGCGTTCTGAAGATGCTCTCCGTCAAGGATATTATTATCTTTTCATTGTCGGGTGCTATGTACTCAGTGTCTAAGATTTCTCTTATTCTGCTGATGACATATATTATTTCCGCACTCCTTTCATCTCAAGCACAGAACAATCTTGCTTATCTCTCAGCTCTGGCCATGTTCATTACCAGTTTGTTTCAAGCTATGGGACATCATCACGTTTGTTATAGAGGCGAGTTGACGGGAATCAGAGTGAGTTGCGCCCTTAAAGGTCTAATTTACCATAAGGTAGGTAAATGGATAGTCTCTAAGTATCCTCATAGAAAGTCCCGCTAAGTTGACGCAGCCGACGGAACGCCAAAGGAAATTGCTAAGGTTAAATTAAAACAACCGGGTGAAGACAACTAAATCTTGGCTTTGCATCAACGTGCCTTACCTTGCTTCACCTTAACATACTAAAATAGTTACTTAATTCACGAAAAAGCGGTCCAGTCTTCAAACAAAAAAGAAGGTTGGGAAGACTGCAGTGCTGTCTGTTAGCTTGTTGCAATTGAATTGAATGGGTGGTTGGTGAGCTAATACTAAGTATATAGAAGGACATCGCTGTAAAACCAGTCTTCACGGGGGCACTCAGCTGCGTTAAATTTCACTCTAAAGTAAATTTGAGCGTTGATGTGAAAATCCATTTTAAACAAAAAGAAAAATCAACAAAAACAATTGATAGATCGGAGAAATTTGCAGACAGATCGGAAACCTAGCTCCTAATGTATCACATGTCCTCAAACCAGCATTTCTCAGTGGTACTGCCACTTGCTTTGCCTTTCGTCTCTCCTCTTGACACTTGGAGGATAGGCTCCAAAATTATCGCCGACTTTAAACTTTCATCATACGGAAATTGAGGCTGGTTTGTCATAAAATATTTGCCCCATGGAGTGAGGAAATATTGCGCTCCTTTTCTTCCGTCCTGTACATGGTTTGATAGTCGCGACGAAGACAAAGATATTTCGATAAAAGGTTAACCCCTGATATTTTTTTCGTAGATGTTACTTCTGAGTAAACACGGTTTATTGAAAGCCACGACAGGTTACGTAATTGAGCTTTTATCCAATGACGTTCAGCGAATGGAAGGCGAAACTGTCAAATTTGTTTTTCTGACGGTTTCTTCAACTGTAGAGTTTTTGGCGTTACCATCCTTACTCCTGCACCTCATTGGCTGGCAAGCACTTGTGGGCTTCATTTCTCTTAGTCTTCTTATTGTATACTTTGCTGGGTTATCCTACATGAACGGTGTATTACGAGTGAGGACAGCAGAAATGTCGGGTCTACGCCTCTCTTTGATGAACCAAGTAATTTCTGGAATTTGCGCCATCAAAATGTATACATGCGAGAGTGAATACAGAGCAAGGATAAAATATTCACGTAGGTAAGCAAAAGACGATCTTACCTCTCATGTTTAAGTTTCCGTACTTACGAGTCAGTGACTAACCTAATGTCTTGTAAAAGGCATAATGAGCGTAGTGACGAGATACAATATAGAAATGATGCTCATTAATACCAGTTGAAAATTTTTAGATTTGCAAACAAACAGAAACTAAGGTGAGTTGGTCTTGAGGTAAAACCGAGCGTTGTGATCAGTTGGTTCTTACCTGGACAGGATTTTACCGTACAGACCGTTTCTTCAGAAACGGATAAGCCTTGTATTTTGGTTCAAAAGCAAGAAAATTCGAAATTAGCAAATTCAATCTGAGAGCCGTATAATATAAAACTTATTATTAAATTTCAATATCTAATCATGCTTTGTTTTATTTCGAGAGCTGGTTAAGGGAACGAGGACTCCGAGTCCGATATTAGTGTGAACACCATTACGTGCATTTCATCGAATTAAAAGCCATTTATTGTCTGATTTGGTTTTTTAGGAATGAAATTAAAATCCTCAATAAGAAAAATGCGGTTTTGACAGCTCTTGTCGCTTTGGAAGGCTCTTCAGGACCTATAGCACTCTTGGTGTCTGTCCTGACTTTTTTATTAACAGGACATACCCTAACACCTGTGAATGTCACCATGCTACTCTCTTTCATTGGTGCTCAAAGACTAAATCCTTGCTGTTTCTTGGCCTATGGTTGGCTGCAAATATACGAAGCTTATGTATCGCTTCTTAGAATAGAAGATTTCCTCCTCTTAAAAGATTTGCCTGCAGTCTCATGTGATTACACGTCTGACGAAAGTAAATCTGAATTGAAAGAGTTAAAAAGCAGATTGAAGGATCACGAGGAGAGGGTCGAAGTCAATCACTTTGACGATGCAATGAATGAGCGGGGCATGGCAATAGATTTGTGTGTGTCGAATTTGACATGCATGCAGGTCAGTCGAGAAGAGGAATATATCTTAGAAAATATCGACCTTATAACAGAATCAAAAAGCTTGGCAGTTATTACTGGACCAGTGGGAAGTGGGAAATCTACTCTTCTCTCAGCCATCGCCGGAGAGGTACCAAAAAAAAAGGGAACACTGACTCGCCCAGAAAAACTTGCTTACGTTCCACAGATTGCATGGGTCTTCTCCGGGACAATTCGGGAAAATATCTTGTTTGGTCTGCCATACGATGAGCAGATGTATAAGAGAGTGCTCCGAGCGTGTGCACTTGTTAAGGACATGCAGGAAATGCCCAATGGAGACTTAACTGTTGTTGGAGAACGCGGTGAAGTTCTTAGCGGCGGTCAGCAGGCAAGAGTAAGTTTAGCTCGCGCAGTGTACGCTGATGCAGATCTTTATTTGTTGGACGACCCTTTCAGTGCTTTGGACTTTAAAGTTGGTCAACACATCTTTGAAAACTGTATCCAAGACTTCCTGAGCGACAAAACCAGGGTATTAATCTCTCATCAAGAGCAGCACATGAAAGAGGCAACTGAAGTGGTAGTCTTATACAAAGGCCGTGTTTTAGGGAGGGGTACTTTCACTGATCTTCAAGGGAAAGGTTTTCTTAATACGCTTGTTAATCCACTACATCAGAAGGCTCCAAAAGATTCGACATTCGACAAGAAATATAATGATCAAGAAGAGAAATTCATCGATAGTAGAGACGAAAAAGATCCACCATCCACTGGAGAGAAGGGCCTGACAATATCGGATGAGGATCGTACCATCGGAAGGGTGTCACCGAAGCTTTACTGGGACTACTTCAGCAGTGGAATTCACTCTATGGGAATCATTGCTGTGATATGTTTGTTCCCCATTGCGCAAGGTAAGCCTTTCTTATGTGATCTGAAGGCCGACTGTATTTCATGGGCAGGGGGCGAGCGTGGCCTAGTGGTTAGGGCGCTGCACTTGCAAGCCGGAGGTCCCGGGTTCAAGTCCTCCTCCCTGCCACTGGATGGATTTGTCTTCGGTATTCAACTCCTTGTAAATAGCCAACTGGTCTGCCTCCTACCAGTTGGGGTTTTTAACAAGTTTCTGTTTATTTACGATATTTGTTTCCTTATTTACAGTGTCCCCAATTAGCACAGCAGTGCTAAATACAATGACACTTAAATAAAGTTATTATTATTATTATTATTATTAAATGCAAAAGAAGTCAACTTTAGACACGAGACCCGCTATAACCTAATTGCTGTTTATTATCTTACGGCGTTCGGAATCGAGATCATCTAGAAGTAGAATGTTTTTACATGTGAAGAGATTTCGTCATGTTGGCCGATAAACAATATTTTTCTTTAATAACTTATCATTATCTTCATCAATTATTATTTTCTGTTTTGTGTATGGAACGATGTAAATGTGTAAGTTTTCATGCCTTGCTTTCAATGACGGTACTTTACTCTAAAAGGCTATCCATGTAGTTGTGGAAGCCATAGTAGATTCTTTCGTGATATAAACAGCTGAAGACAATTAATTAAAAATGAACCACGATCCCAATCAGTCCTACATAAAGACCCCTTATGCATGGAGATTTGCATTTTTTACAGCTTGTTTATGGCTGAGGTAGTAGAATATGAGGGTGCACTTTGTTCTCCACGTCAAGGAAAACGTGAACCTAGGTTGACAGTAGATCGAGAGAAAATGAGTTACTAAAATCGCAAATCAAGAAGAGCTTTTGTTTTGAACTGATGTGGCAATTTATTTCAAGTTAGATGCGAAGGTTCAACTGTCAATGGGTAGTGAAAGTTGTTGTTGTATATGAAAACTAATACACTCTACTTGTAGACATGGACTTTAGAAAGACTATCCATCCAGTTATGGAAAGGTTCTACTTATAGCGGAGCTCGCAGAGCGTAGCCCCATAATTGTACAAATTAGTAGTAACCCATCAAGCCGAAAGAATTTGGATGTACGACCGTTCGACCGTACAAGGTGCTACTTTTAACATGCGTGGTCAACTGCGCCGCGGGCACGCCAACGCCACGGCTTTGTTCAGTAGTTTAGTGGTCAGTGCACTGGGCTCTGAGTCGGACGACCTGGGTTCTAATCCCGGCCGGGGCAAGGCGTTGTTCCTTTGAGACGTGCGGGGTAAAAAATGCGAGCTCCGCTTTTAGGCTTGGCTAAATCTAGATATTATATAGTTACCCCTGTAGCATTGGACCTAGTGGAAACTTAATTGGTTTGTTTTAATTTCAGCAATAATTGTCGCTCCCAATGTTTGGCTCTCGCTTATGACGAAGAAGCTTCCAGAAGATCAGAGAAACAAGATAAACATTATCATCTACACTTGTCTTGTCAGTGGGTGCGTTATGCTCGCCTTCGTTCGAGCATATACTTTCCTATGGGTTTCTCTGAAATGTTCTGAAAGTCTCCATGACTTGATGGTAGAAGCTCTTCTGCGATCACCAGTGTTGTTTTTTGATTCAAATCCAGTAGGAAGAATCCTCAATCGGTTCTCGAAAGACATTGGCTGCATGGACGAGCTTTTGCCCAAAGAGTTTCTGTTGTCAATTCAGTTATCATTATTGGCTATTTGTACGATACTTATACCAACTGTTGCAAATCCTTGGCTCCTGTTCGTCATTATTCCGTTGATGACTTTTGTGGCGTTCGTCTCCAAGTATTACTCGAAAACGTCCCGAGAGCTAAAAAGGTTGGAATCAATCAGCCGCAGCCCTGTTTTCTCCCACATATCGGAGACTTTGAATGGATTGGACACAATTCGGACAAGAAATAGGCAGAGAGACTTCGTCCATGAGTTATACAGGTACGTTAGCGGCTTCTTTCTGTAGAAGTGACGCCTTGTTTAAAAAAAAAGGAATTTCTGGTTGCACATTTAAACAAACAAGTTGCGGAAACACGCTGAACAATTACCAATTTCTTTTCGTAGATACCAAGATACCCATAATCAGATATCTATCATGGTGATGGCCAGTGCCAGATGGCTCGGAGTGCGCCTGGACGTTGTTGCTTCCCTAATAGTTGGTTCAGTTGCTGCAGCAGCAGTGTTTGTGGCCCAAGATGCCGGTAAGTATTAAAGAGAGGGAATGTTTTCGGTTCACTGTCAACAAACATAAAAAGTCATTAACTCTAAGTTAGAGAAATCTTTGGTTTCTTAATGAGAAGTTGACTTTTAGCATCATTATTATTAGCATTCATTATCGTCGTCATTGCCGTTGCAGTCACCGTTGCTGTTGTCTTCGTCGTCCCTTTTATCATTATTTTAGGAAGTTTAAGAAACTTTGAAGAAGAGAACGACGATGAGATCAGTAAGCGCAGAGAACGAGAGACGAAAACAAGGTCGTTGTTTTTGGCGGCAAAAGGAAACTAAAGCGACGTAGTTATTTAAAGATGACGGCGTTTGAAATTTCGGTTAGCTTTGCTTCGTATAAAGATATGACATCCTTCGGGCGCATTGAAAACTTTGCCTTTCTTAGTTATTTCATTTTTAAGTATTTCTCCTAAAAGAAAATCGAGCTCTGAAATCTTATCATCGATACCACTGTCTCTTTCTTCTTACAGTCGAACCTGTATTAAGCGGCACCGTAATTAGCGGTCACTATGTATTAAGCGGTCAGTTGTCTTACTGCCGAAATTTTTTACCCCTTATTTACACGAATTTTCACCTCTTTTTAGCGTTCACTTCTATCAAGCGGTCACCTCTATTTAGCGGTCGTGGTCACCTTTCACTGAGTCCCATCGGCCTGTTTGTATCGTCTTCCACCTGTATTAAACAGTTCTTTAAAGCGGACCACTCAAACAAGTCTAAGAATAATCCTTCTCGTAATATTAATTCATATTTATCTCCCGTTATTAATGTTGATTGTGTTATTGAGAAAATTTTTGCACATTAAGTGGTCAATTATAGCACATAATGACCTTTACCATCAATTCCTTATAATACCCTATTCTGTGAGAGTTGTATTGAGCGGTTAACCTGTATTAAGCGGTTACCTAGCCACTTCTCGTGGGTGACCGCTTAATAAAGGTTTTACTGTTTTTTGATTTAAACCTTTTAATTTAAACGATTTCGTGGCTGAGATGACGCGGCGTTTCGTTTCGGCCAGGAGACTCGTCAGATATTTTTCGTAAATTTCAAGCGAACTCGTCGAGCATTGCGCGCAGAGTCCCGTTCGCGAAGTCAAAATGTATCAATCAGGTCCTCTATCGCAGTGGGATTCCCAATTGCACGTTTATGGGTCACAATGCATACTATGAAAAATTGTAACTGAAATTTACACACTAAAACGTGCGAAGTAAATTTTCCTTCACCAGCTCGTCGAAGAAGCTGGGAGCCAATCAGGTAGCGCGTACCGCATTTTTCACCAGTTGGAAAAACGATAGGTCCTGTCTGGAGCCACCACGAGCCACTACGCCGAGACGTAGTCGATTGTTTCTTCCCACTTTTTGAGTGCTCTGGCCGCTTCCTAAGTTGAGTGAAAAATCTTACTCTTTCGCCCGTTGAAACTCTTCGCAAGTTGAAACATCTCTCGATGACGAGAAGCTATTGCTTCTGCCGTTGTCGCCGACGAGTGGACGACGACGAGAATTCTAGGCCGCGCTTGTGCGTAAATGTTCATCTCTCTTTCAGTGGTCGTTCTTCCAGTCTCTAGTGATTGCTTAAGCTTTGCAGGTATTGCTGTCGATTTTCCAACTGCCATTTTTATTATGAAGATAATGAAAATGAGAATGGTTATATAATTATTAGTATCTCATAGAAGGGACAGTTTTATTCTCCTGTGGGAAACTACAGAATTACATATATATATTTACGGGAGTTCCTAATTAAGATAAAAGGTTCTCAATACAGAAGGCAAAGTTTGTCCCAATATGGACCGACCTGAGCTGGTGAATAATTACAAGTATCTGTCACAATCTGACACCTGTCAATTAGAGAGCACGAAAGAAAAAAGAGCGCATGTACACTTTTGAAAAAAAACTTAACGGTACTGGTTTGGCAAACAAACTCAAGCTCAATGACTGTCTCGACAATTTTTTCTTCGAAAACATTAAATGATCCAACGGAAAGCATTATTCGCTTCGACGATTAGTGTACAAAGAATACCTATGCTCAATCAGTAAATGGCGATGAAAGTAATTATAAGTAATTCAGATGCATGTTTTAAAGTTGTGGGAGTTTGTTTGTTTTTTTGTTTCCTGCAATGGCGTGTATAAATCTGGTCTTTTTCCACCAAAAAACTAAAGATAAATGAGACCCTTTTACTGGACCTAAGGGGAATTTTAATGCGGCTTTTTCTCGTTGGATACAAAGCCCCCCCCTCCCCCCCCTCCCCCCCCTCCACGATCCTAATCCCCAATTTTACTTTTTACTTCCATATTGTCCGTGCATGGAAGGTTTATAGAAAATATAAACTTTCAAAACTACGTTGTAATTCTCTTCCTAATAAAAATTGTACTCTGTGACACGGTTCATTACAAGTAGTCAATGTTTACATTTTCAATTTTCCTTTATAATCAGCCATTGCCACTCTTGCACTTGTTTACGTCGTCCAAATCACAGACACAACCCAAACGGCAGTGAGAAGAAGCTTGAATGTTGATAATCTCATGACGTCAGTGGAACGAGTTATGACGTACACTAAGCTTGACTCTGAGCCTGGATACAAAGTAGAAAAACGTCCCCCAGAACACTGGCCACGCGAAGGGAAAATAACTTTTAAAGATGTATCACTGACATATTACCCGGGAGGACCTCAAGTACTAAAGAAAATTAACCTTGAAATCAAAGGCGGAACGAAGATCGGTATTGCAGGCCGTACAGGTGCAGGAAAGACTTCTGTTTTGGCAGCTCTACTGCGCATGCCAGATGCTGATGGACAGATAATGATTGACGATATTCCCATAATGGAGATTAACATTCAAGAAGCTCGACGATGCATATCGGTTCTTGAACAAAGTCCAGTCCTATTCAGTGGAACGCTGAGAAAAAATCTCGATCTTTTGGAGCAGTTTCAAGACAAGGATTTATGGCAAGCGTTGAGAGACACTCAACTGAAAGACGTAGTTGAGAGCCTGGAGGGACAGTTGGATTACAAGCTTTCCGAACATGGCGCAGATATCAGCGTAGGAGAAAGGCAGTTGATTTGTTTGGCTCGTGTCTTGTTACATCGAAGCAAGATCATCATCCTGGATGAACCCACTGCACACGTAGATCCAGAAACAGAGCACAAAATGTGGAGGGTGGTACGCGAGAAACTGAAGGACTGTACCGTAATTACCATAGCTCACCGCCTGAGCTCAATTAAAGATTGTGATATGATTTTGGTTTTAGAAAATGGAGAAATACGCGAATTTGGCAAGTTTGATTTATTAGTGAGAAGAGAGGGAGGTATATTGAGAGAAATGGCTCGTGTTTCAGGTATCTAAAATGTGCATGGAAGAAAGTCACCGAAAACCTTCCCTGATCTTATTGTTCTGGGTAAAAGATGGCAACAAAATTAACCAAATGCGACAGAAAGTTAATCCCGCTCCCTTTTGAGCTGAGGTTTTTCAAATTGGCTTTGCAATGTGTTTTATTCTACATTTTTCGACATTTTAGCTCTTTTTCCGTTTTAGAATGATTTAGGTAACAAAAGCCTCTACTGAATTATTGTCTTGACGTCATGGCTCTTCTTGGGAGCACAATAACGCAGAAGGAGCACCAAAAAACCTTAAAGAAAACACAATCGAATTCGCAAAGAAATTGGTAATCTTCTGTTATTTTATAATTAAATGGTTGTATGGTTTTTAGAGATTTAAATAAGTAGATGTACTTGTCTGCCTGATTTTTAAACTAACAGGGATAAAAAATCTTAGCATCGTTTGCGTCATTTTGAGGATTTTGTTTGCTTCAGAAAGCTTTGAGCTGAGTACACCATCATGCACCTGTAGCGGTGAAAAAGTACATTATTTCCTCTTTAAGCACAAATCAAGAAGGAAGTCAATTCTGATTATCAGCTCCCTTGTTAAAGCGTGATCGTGGCGCTCTACTTTTGACCGTTTTATTGAAATTATGAAGGTGTAATAGTAACTTACCTGAGCTTGTGGGAACAGTTGCATGAGCATCCTAATAATATCTGCTCACACATCAGCGCTTTCTCCGCGAACATTCTTCATTTCTTGGAATGGATGAAAACATATTCTGCTTTATTCCTTTCTTGCCCGTGTTTGGTTTTTTCTGATAGATTTCCTTGGAATTTTTTTTCTTTCGTACGTTGCCCTTTCCTGGTCTGCTCAGTATCAAATCAGTATCATTGATATATTCACTGAGCCGGCCAAATAGATTTGAGGCCATGTCTAACTTAAAAGCAAAGGAAGGAAGGAAGGAGCCTTATTCCTTATTCTGGAAAAAATTGCGTTGAACGGAGAGAAAGCGCTGCACCCATGCCTATCAGTGTGTTACAAATAGCTTCCGAAAATTACGAAAGGTGAACGCTCGAAAAGTCTGCTTTAAAACTCTTCGAGGGACAACATCAGTTCCTTTAGTTCGGCCATGAAAAAACATTTCTTAGCATAGTGTTGTGAATAGAAAAATATAAGTATGTGGTTTGAATTAATTTTGTATACATACATTTTTAGCTGTAGATGATAGACGTTTTGCGATTGATATTCATACTTTGTACTATTCTTAATTATTTCATGATTACTCGGTAGATATGTAGCATAAAAGGTTCCTGGTTTATCAGTCATACTGTCGTGTGTTACCCTCTCTAAATAAATTTTTTACTTACTTATTTACCTACTTACCTAACGGTGGCCAATTTACGTTATTAACTCTGTTGTTAATAACAGATTACCTTGTAACTTTGAGTTGGCGTCGTGTTACGACAAAAAGTCGAGACGGCAATTGACAGAATCTTTGATCGAGAATCAAGAAGTTTCCAATATTGAGTGATAAGTGCCGACATTTTCCGTGGCAGTACCCACGATCTTCTGAGCATACATTTGTTTTACTGTAGGACCGCTGCTGCTCAATGATGGTGGCAGTGTTTAATGTCAAGACCTAGAATTTTAAGCAACCAATTATATGGGCAAACATGGTAGGATGTCGAAAACAAATTTCAGCTCGATAACTACGAAGGGTCAAAGAGGAATGTGAATATATTTACTCTTCCTCATTTTTAAAAGCCCCACAATTTCTTTCTTACATTTTTTCTTTTTTATGTGAATGAGTTTCCCCAGTTAAGAACTTTGGTTTATAAACAAGGTGGTAAACATAACTTAACCTACTTTTCAAAAAAACCGCACAGAATGGCTGCTGATAACACTTGTGGTTCCACAACATTTGAGACATCTAGCGGTAGTCTTTCACATCGTTCACTTTACTGCTATTGGATTGCAATAGCAACCGGTCTGACATCAGTTATCAGCATGCTTGTAAGTTTTGACTGATTTGAAAATGCCTTTTGATCTTTCGTTCTCACTGGAAAAGAAGTACATGCTTAAACAGGCATAATTCAGGATGTTACATTTTTGATGAAATTGCTGGATTTCCAGAATTTCCTCTTGCCTGTGAGTGCATCTATTCTCAGAAGGTTCGACCGACGCATGTACACTAATTTTCTGGGTGCAGAGTACAATGAAATCCTTAGAGCAGCGGAAACCGAAGTGACCCTAGTGCTCGGTTTTAATTTACTAATACGAAAGATTGACCTTTGGTCGACAGCTTAAAAGCGAACACGCACGTCGTAGTCAGAACGGAACCCTTTTGAGTTTGGCAGCACGACGAGATCAATTGAACCAACCTCGTTCTCTGGGGAACTTTTGGTTTTTACCATTTTTTTAGCAAACTAAGTTGGTGTTTGACAGTTTTTGTTCCAGCGTTCCGTGATAATCTGGTAAGTCCACGGTAAAGTCAACACTATATCATTGCAGCAATGCAAATTAGAGTGCAGCTCGACTTTTCTGCTTCAGCGAATTTTGAAGGCTTACTGTGACTCGCTGTCATTCATGTTTAACTCAGCAACAGGAATACATACATACATATATATATATATATAAAACACGGAGGAGTAGTTGAAGAACATAATTCTCCTAGCCCTTACCTTAGAGGAAGGCGGAAGCTTAGCCGTGATACCTTAACAACAAAGATATTTTCATATTCAACGCCTTAGCATCCCTCTATGATGGCAATTATTTTTTGCTTTGTGGCTTACATCCAGTAACGCGCTTTGCGATAGTAAGTAAGTAAGTCCGTGACATTTCGGAAGCTCTCGGAGCAGTCTAACAAAGTGAAATCGAAACCACCTCGGGATTTACTTTAGTCCTCTAATCGAATTTCACCATAATACTTTCTTTAGAGTTTATACTAAGTATTGCTGAACATACTTATGAATCGCTTTGATTGTTTAAGATCTGATTTGGAACACAAGCCGTAAGAACAGTTAAAGTCCATTGGCAAATTGATTTAATCAATTATCTTATGTCAGCATTGGCTGCTGGATCAATCGGTAAACTGAGCACTTTTACGGACGAAAATAATCGTGTGCTTTTCCTACTGAAAAATAATTCCTCAAATTGGCTGCCGCATATCTTTAAATTCACTCAAAGTGCCTTCCTTCGGTGTGATCCAGATGAAGATCGTCCATCCGAGACCACTCGGATCACAGTGCGCAGTATCAGTTACTATGACAGTTGGCGTGAAACTTAAGTGCGTGTGGGAGTGGAATGCACTCAGCGCAAAATTTAAACGGAAACATCATGGCTGCTGCGTGTAGGGCAGTTGTTTAATTTTTCATGAATATAGCAATTTACTGATGATTCAGCGCTAGTAGAAGCGAACAGTTTTGAGGATGTTTTTTCTGCTGATGAACATCTTGGAAAGGAAAGGCCATGTTCGTACGAGAAGCATCAAAGACAACTTAAACGGACGGAGTTATAATGTTTCACAAGTCAGCTTCGAGCCGAGTCAAGTCCGAGTCAACTTAAATTTTTTCCCTCTTTCTAAAATAACATCGTAAGACAATACAAAGTTTGGTAAATTCGTGTATACAAGCTTCTTCTTCAATTTTCTGATAAATTTCAATCAATACAGACAAAACAGGGCTAAATTACGACTACTTACTACGACGAAATGGAAGGTACTCCAAGCTATGAGCACGGGGAAAATGAGTATGATGCTCTGAGTGACTAATTTCGAATCCCTTGCCCAATGCATGGAACGCAGCAGATCATTAACCCGATGAATCTCTGTCCAGAGTGGATTCAATGATCAATGTGAAAACGGATTCCGAATATCCTGATCTGAATTCCTCAAAGGAACGCACCTCAAGTAAAAAAATATATATACTTAAAAGGGAAACCTGTAGTCACAAATAATAAATTCCGAGGTATATCATTTCGAGAAAGAAAACCAAGAGGTTTGTTTTCAATTGTTAATAAAATGTAAACAGAGATTATCGTGTTGCAACGTAATATTACCAAGTGACGGTGAGACGCGAGCTTTGATGAAAATAATTTATATCGTTCTATCAAACACCTTCTTTCAAGGTAAAATGCTTTCCGTTTCGAATTTGGATTTACCCGTTAAAAACCATAACGAGAGAAACTTTGTCTAGGTTGCCGGGGCCTGATCGTCAGGGCCTGCGTAGAAACGCCAGAAGTGCCCTCTAGGTAGATAGATGACTGCAGGATAATTTCAGACTTCAGCTTCTGCATAGAGAGCGCAAATAAAAAATTGGATTGTTGCAATTTTTCAATAAGAGCTACGAAGATGCTTATTCCTTCAAAGATTTGGCCTACACTGAATTTCGTGACGCCAAGGTAGAGACGTGGCAGACGGCATTGCGAGAGTGACGTGTTTAAGATGGAAAATGTCTTTAATTTAAAGCTTACTATCCAATTTAAGGAATCGAAAAATAGGTGAAATTCTAGGCCTTTACTGAGATTTGAATCAACCTAAAAATTGAACCGTGAAAAATAATTTCAACCCTTATTTGCTGAATTAAGGAAAAAAAAACTTAATCATGCACACCAAGAAAGTGGCAAGTGTGTCGCTGCTCATAACAGGCCTGCTCATTGTGATACTGGGTGTTATCATTGGAATTATGCTACAAAACGCAGCAGAGGAGAACAACGAGGAGTTAGTTTGTGTGAACAGCAAAGAAAGCCCGGGATATGAAAGATGGGTGAGTATTCTGCTGTACTTTTCCGATGATCTTCTTAAAGTGTTGACCCTGAGGACACGAACGTCATTTCTCTTCATGCAGTTCTTTTGTTTGAATCGAGTGTTTTTACTGTGCGTTTTAAACTAAGGGAGACCTGAAGAGCTCAGGATGTTTAACAATGTTTAGTTGAACTGATGTTTATTGGTCGCTGTGTGTTGGATATTTCTAGGCAAGTCCGGGTTATTTTACAGCTAGAGCTTATTACTGGAACATCTCCAACAAGGCCGGATTTCTTTATCGAGGAGAAAGACCCAAGGTACATTCAAAATAATCATGATTTTGAGATACAAAAATGTTGTCGTGTGAACTCTCTTATATATTGATGAGAGCTAGGAATTTTGTCCACTTCCCTCTTTTGGCGGTACATTTGGAGATTAATAATTATGCAAAGGCAACCGTTGTGGCTCCGCAAGATGCCAAGACCATTTTACTCCCTGCTAAGTTCGTCTGAATCACTCTACTGCGGAGTTCTGAACATTTTGAGAGAACACCCCTTCCTCAGTTTCGTGTTGCCATTACTTTCGAAACAATTAATAAGAGAAGTTTTAAAATAATAATAATTATTCAATACTCTGGTAAACAGGCGCGAATTTGACATTTTCTTATTGAAATCCCTCTTTTCGGTGCACGAATTGTTCCGCCTACCATTCCTTTTACTCGAAGACATTGCGTAACAGAACTGCTTCTCTCTTGACTTAAAACTGTCACTTTTGGCTTGCAGTGCTTATTATGAAACCAGCATTTTCCAAACTCTGCTTTGTTGAGCATGATCTAGTTAGACGAGCACAATGTCACAATTTGGGTTGTATTCTTCCTCGGTTGTGATTTCACACTTATGAGAGATAGAGTGAGGCAGCTGAGTGAGTTAAGTCAGACGTTTCGCTCTCTACATGAGTAAATTTAAGGCACCTCGTAAAAGCGGTAATTTTCACTTTCAAAATTATGCAGTAGTATTTTGTGTTTCTTTTAAGCTTCGTCAAAGAGGTCCTTACGTCTATAGTGTGACATCAAAGAGAATTGACGTAAAATTCGAGAACGGAAAAGTTACAAGCAAGAAGTTTGAACAAGCTAAATTCAACAAGACGCTTACCAACGAGGAATGTCCCACATGTAGCGAAAATGACGAGGTACGTTTTTAGGGGGCAGATGTTCTATCAAAACGAAAATTGTGAGTGATCCATAAAATCTGACGAGGTGGAGAATGTGAATATTTTCAAACCTACACGTTCAAACCATCTTCTATTCTTCGCCGGTCATCTTAAACCATTGCACACCAAAGGAATTATTAATTGCGGAAATTAACACTCAACACTAAGAATTATAAAAATACATATTAAACACTGATCTAATTTTTCAGTTTGAAGCCCTAAACCTTTGACGACATTTTTCATGGACCTTGAATTGAGCCAAAGAAGACAATGTTCGTCGGTGGAAAATACAGTCGTTCTCTCTGACCGTCAAAGTTATCATAAGAATGACAATAAACATTGCTGTAATTATCATTACCTAATCAGGAAAATCCTGATGTCATTATGGCACCTCAAAGTTTTATTTTTTTCAGCTTACAATATTGAATGCAGGTTACCTCGTCAAAGGAAAGGACCTGAGCCAGGTTCTTATACCCCTCGTGATGAACGTATTGTTCGTCGGACTTCAGGAAAGTCTGAATGATAGCGATATTCTCCTCCAAATGGGACTAACCGACAATCAGCTAAACTTAACATACCCATCGAACCCTGCTTTTGGCTCCTGGATCAATTCCTCTCCATATTTTGCGTCTCTACGAAAAAACTTCACTGTGGTAGAGATGAACGGCTTATACGGTGCATTACGGAACGTATCGAAATTCGGACCATTTACAGACACACCACTGCTAAAAAAATGCCTAAACGGCAGTTTGTTCAGTGTACAGTGCGGTCTTGCGTTAAACTTGAAATTCCTCCCCAAGGAACCTCGAGCTGCAGTATTAATACAACAATTATTGTGTCCAGATCGGAAATCAGCTTGCTTCGACACCTCAAGGAATGGTACATATCAAGCCCTCGGCGCGTTCATCTATGAACTTTCTAAATATGTCCTTTTTTTTCTGGAGAAAAACAACTTTGGGGCGACGACCACTCGAAATCAGAATGACTTGACAATTGGGTATGTACTACGGTTACCAGGATACCCAACCGGAATACCTATCCCAGGGATAGTAACCTCACATGCCAATGAAACTTATGCCAGGAAGGTGGCAACAAGCTCTACATTCTACACCTGTGAATCCACGGGAGACAGATTTGCTTTTGCAGGTAAAGTTTGCGAAAGTTTGAACTTTTTTGCTCAAATATCTTCACGACATCTTCAAGAGGTTGAATTCAACATCGTAAGTGAGGAGGAAGGTTTTAGGCTGAAAAGGGAAAAAATGTCTTATTTACGCTTGCCTGTCTTAAAGATTTCCAAGGTTTTGGTCAAATTCGAGTCATGTAAAACACTGATTCCATTAATGTTTTGAGGTCGTTTCCCCACAATTGATAACCTTATGAAGAGGAACTTGAGACCAAGCTTCACAGCAGGCTAGCGAGCTATGCGGAGGCTTTTTGCGAAAAAAAGAAAGGGAAATTACAACAAAAAATATTCCCTGTATACAATGCAGAAAGTATTTCATTCTATCGGCGACTTCCCAGATTCAAAGCTTCAGTGAGTAGAAGTATTTTGGCTAAAGATAAAACTTTTTCCTTTGGAAGGGGCTTCCCCATTTGAAGAGTTGGAAACATTAAATGACCTGTTCAAATATGTCTCACGTTAATCAGAGGATTTACTGCATATTTGTTTCGCCCGGGAGATTCAAAATAAGCCCTAGCCACTTGAATTGGCCTTTTCAAGGACGTATACCTTGCTTGAGCGGAATAATCACTTTTACTTTCTTTTGTTTCTTAGCGGTAGGCGGTGAAAGTACAGTTAGTACCAATCTATATCCAAAAGCGTCTAATGAACAGCTCAAGGTTCATGGCTACGACACACAATTTCCTGGAAGGAAAAGTTTAAAAACTTGCTCAACCAAGTATGGTCCAACAGAAAACAGCTATGAGATTTTCATTTCTTACTTCCGTTTGGCCATTCCCTTCAAGTACAAAGAGGAGGTGGAAACAAACCATATTTCAATGCACAAATACTTATTGGATGAGTCTGCAGTTGAGGTAAACAACGTGACTGTGTTCACAAAAGGTGTTTTTGATGTGAGCCGGGTTTTGGAAGGTCCCATCTATGCCAGTCTACCGGGATTTCTTTATGGAAAAGAGTCACTTTACAAGGATCTGGGCCTTGATACACCTGACGCACAAAAATACGAGTCTCTGGTAAGCTGACATAGAGCAGTTAAATCATTTTATTGGGAATATTCCTAAGACTACATAATTTAGAAAATAGAACGTTCAGAGGGGAAATTCATATTTTTATCATATGACCTGTGCAAGCCTGCGCCACTTTATTGAAAATGATTGGAAAAAAATCTCCATATGGGGGCCTTACGCCGTGACGTGAGAGAGACTAAACCCCCGATTAGCCATACATGTATTCAAATTCATCACCCTGAAGTTGTTAGCCGGCTTGTGGTCTCTAGTGCCCCAAGCGTAATATTACGTGTACTTCGAGTGCTGCTTGAATGTTCGATAGAGAACGAGCAGACGCTGCATGGGAATTACAAGTGAGTAAAATGCGCAAACAAGGATTGGTTACTTCTTTATCCACCCGCGATCTATGGAATCGCAATTGGTTTAAAATTAAATGAGGATGGACTGCCCTAGAAATAGGTCGCTGGGCTTGATCATTTCTTGTAGCTTACCCTCTTTGAATTCACCTTGGAGCTGTACCCAATTTACTACGAATGGCAGAATGTGTTCAAATTTAACCACTGGTAAGTCATATCTCATTATGAAATGGGCCAAATTTAAGTCCAACCATTACTTAGTCTGCGGAGCAAAAGTTCATTTTAGCAGCTGTGAGTCCATTCTTCCTCTTCCTTGTCTGCTAATCACATTGCCATTTAATAAGACTGCTCCCTGAGTTTGCATCTTATCCCAACCGCAATATTACTGTTTCTCTTTTTGTACATTTGATTTACGATCATACATGTAGATCGGGGAGAAGACCTTTCAGCGCACAGGGTTCACTTCTTCGAAAAACGGTCAGAGCTATAAAGGATTAAGATTTCGTAGAAAAGGTTGTGCTTATTCATCGTGGAAATGACAATAAAAGCTAAGTTTTTCGTTTGTCTCACGATGTAGTGACGTGTGATGTAGATCGCGACGTTTCGACTGCATACTGCTAGTCTTCTTCAGGCGATGAGGTCGACTGGTCATGCGTGATCCTATAAAGCATGGTGCTCTGCTTTGATTAGTTGTTTTCAACAGCTCTGATTGGCGCATTTCGATCCTTGCTGTTCATTCAGTAATTTGCTACCTCGGCGGTCCGCTGTCGCACGGCTCACCTGTTGTAGTGTTTTTTGATCGTGGGTATCCACGCTTCTGGAATTTCTATTCCACTATCCCTGTTGATGTTGCCAGGGTGAAGTCTTATATGAATTGCCTCTTTGACCATGCGCGTGTAGTAATAAGGGTCACGATCAATCAACTTTACTTCGTTCCAAAGTGGCTTTTGTCCGGTGTTGTGGGCATGCTCTGAAACGGCGGAGGTCATGGTACGGGCGAGTCGAATTTCTCGATCGTGCTCCTTAATTCTGTCTTGCATGGGTCTTCCAGTCTCTCCGATGTACACCTTGCCGCATTCACAGGGAATCCTGTAAACTACGCCATCTTGTTTAGCCGGGTCGACAGCGTCTTTTGGTCGTACTAGCTGAGATCTTAGCGTAGTCTCCGACTTGAAAACAGCGCGTACGCCTTGTTGATTAGGATTTAAATTTGGTTCCGATTTGAGTCCATGGTAACATTTTTTATAGTTTGTACCTGACGATGGAGAGAAAACAATTACAAAAAGTAAGAATGTCAGCAGAACTATAGAGAAATTGATAAAAGTGTGCACTAACCTCGGTTAGCTGTTTAAACAACCTGTCCTGAATTTCTATTCCGACTGAGAAAAAGTTTTCTTTGTCTCAGGTAAGCATTGAGCCGATATCTGGGATTGCTACAAAACTTAAACTTCGTCTTCAGCTTAATGGAATCATTCCGGGAGATTTGTTGGCTCCCGGCACAAATGTGACTTTTCTCCACAAGGTAATACCGATGTCGTGGACGGAAATAGGAACAACCATGGACGCAGAGAAGGCCAAGAAATTAACTTCAAAGGTAAATGTACATATTTGTATCTTCTCTTGTTGAAATACAAGATCTTCAAAGAACGTTTTATTGTCTTGTCACGAGTCTGGGAGAAAGAAAAAAATCCAAGTCTGCCATGGGAAATCGAACTTCACACATTCGCATTTAGCGCCCCAATGGCTACCACTAAGCCACAGAACACTCTTTGGTGAGATGGGCTATAACTATGCAGGTTCATATGCAATATCCATCCAGAGTACTGCCAAGTTGCCGAGATTGGCGAAGTTAATTGTGTAGAGTGAGTTCACTTCACACAATAGGCCAACAGTCAAGGTCACAACTTAAGATAAAGATGAAGATAACGCCGCAGAATGTTTCACATTCCCGCGATAGCGTCACATCTAAGTCGTAGGAGACGATATGAATGAGGAAGAGTGCATATTCCATGATTTTACTTGGTGAAACGACTTGTGTCGGGTCAGCCTGTGGATTGCCTTGTGCGATCCACCCGGGAATTGTTTCTTCAATACCTATTCTAAGTCAGTTCATCCCGTGTTAGGCTTGCATCGTTCCGTAAAAAATATTTACCGCTATTGTTTCACCTCTCTACCATAACAGGTGTTTGGAGACCTGCAGCTGTCTTGTGGTTTGCTATTAGCCTTGCCCATATTTGGTGGAGTGTTAGTCATTTTGGGTGTAGCCTTGATTGTCATGGCAATGAAGAAACGCGAGGTTGTAGCTGTAGTGTGAGAGTTCCTTAAAGTAGATAAAAACTTCGGAAGTCATATTGGACTGTTCACTCTAAGGATATCTATAGGCTAATACATCCGCTACGTGTTTCATGGTTCTGTTATTTGCTGTTAACTATGCAAGTGGTTATCATTAAGAAGTAAACAAGCTGTTTTTTTACTCCTAGTTCCATCGCCAGTACCAGATGGTGGCCTGAGGGGTACTTTCAGAGTTAACTAGTTTATTTGCAATATTCTTGTTTCTCGTTTTATAAAGACACTCCAAGCGACGGCTAGCAATTGGCAGTTTGAGTTAGTTACATGATTAGTACGGCGATCTCTTATCCAACTGGGATTAGCATTACCCCATAGATAAACGACTATAGACAGGTAGCACCAACAATTTTGATACTGATAGTCGAAAGGAAAATTCATTATTTACGAAACCATAAGACAGCAATAAAAACATTCTGCTCTTTGATAGGCATCAAAGCTTCCGCAAGAACACCTTTCACTATATAAGGAATTTGTCTCTTCCTTTTTCTCTATCGAAGTTATCTTGACTTGCGACGAGAACTCATGCTTCAAATTCAAAAAACTATCTTCGACTTTGAAATGAACAGGGATATCATACCACAATCACCTTCAAGGATACAGCTGATATTCTCTCCAAGATAAAATGAGTGCACACATTTTCCAATAGAAACTCCCCTGCGACTTTGCGTAGGATAAGGAACCTTGCTTTGTACATTACACAATTAGCTTGCTTACTTGTCTTGACACCCGAACCTAAATCGCGAGAATATATTTGAAAATTTTGGAAATTTTGTTGCTTTAATTATATAAATCATGAGTGTTGATTGAATTCGTATAAAAAGTACTAGGAATCTAGGGCTTCCACAACATAATTTCAAAAGAGCATATGACTATAATCACGTAACGTTCTTCTCTTCTGCAATATTTCTTACTGTGGTTTCAATATTTTGACGCAAAATGTTTTTTTCTAGTAAGGCCTTAATTTAAATGGAATTACGTACAAA